AGTCAACTAAAGTAGTTCCTTTTGGTATGTATCCTCTGCCGGAAATTCCTTCTATTAAAACTCTATCGTTAGTATCTTGTAGCCTTTGAATGATACAACTAGTGTCTATCTTGTGAGAATAATCAGCTATTGCAATATTCACTAGACCATCGTGAGAGAAATTGTCATTTGCAAATATTTCATTTAACGAACTTACAATTTTCATGCATTGGCTATACTTGGTATGTACAACCAAAGGTTCTAACATTTCAGAACGTTCACTAAGATTGAGATACAGGAGTATCAATAGAATTAATCTCAACACAAGTCTCTTCATTTATATCACTGTTACTAAAGTGATTCTAAGTAGACATTCTGTTTTTATACTTTATATCCTCGATTAAAATTAAAACACGTTGAGCATCTGAAAGTATAATTATTGTATTGGGCTCGTTCATTTATTACGATCAAGGGTGCGAAACTGATGAAATGATTGAAATGATCAAAAATTATTAAAATGTAATTTACGTAAATAAGAAAACTTTTATAACCCCCCCCCCCCCACCCCTCCCTTCCAAGTAACAAAACTTGTATGAAAAAATTTCCTTTTTTGAAATGTTACAAAGAGCCCGTTTCCCTCCCTAGCTAATAAAAAACAAATGTAATAAGTCAACACTAGCAATTAACTTAATGCACTTTTTATCATTTTTATCACAATTCATAACATTCAATATTAAGGAATAGGTTGAAAGATTAGCATTATTAAGCAATTTTGCTTCCTTAATAACTAGATTGAAATTATTAACAGCTAGCTTGATCTATAATTATTAAAAGTGAATCATTTTACTGTACTATTGTGCAACTACTTCTTTTCAGTGACAGTGTCTTGGCTACATTTTTTTATCGTCGATCAATAGGATCCCCCATGGATCCCCTTAAAAATATAAAATTTAAACCAGTGCTTCTCAATCTTTTTCATGCGTCGTGACACACAGTTTGAGATCCACTGGTTTAGACTTAAACCAGCTACTAAATGGCAACAAGTACAACTTTTTCAAGAAACTGCAATAAAAATGATTAAGAGTCTAGAATGATTTTGTTAAGCTCGTGTTTAAAAAAATGTAAAATTCCACAGATCGATTACAATTTTATAACTGCATATATACATCGCAATCCTTGACGAAAAATTGTTTCACGACTTCGATCGTCAAAATAATCTGCAGAAAAAAAAATCAATCTCTTTTTTCGACATTTTGATCCGTCGAGCACATATTTACAAAATGTCAAACGTATGCGAATAGAAATTTATCTCATATCATTTTATTATACATTTATTGGAAAATGAGAGAATTTTTTCACATTTAACATGTAATAGCTTTTCATCCTCAAAAGAGTGTCAGAATATTTATCACGATTTTGATCTTTCATTCCATCTTCATCTCGAGTTTAATAAGATTTTCATTCAGGGGTGGCGAACGGTTCTTATTATTTGTGTTCAGAAAACAAAACAAAACTTAACCTTGCATTAATTCTAAACCTTAACCTTGCTAATTTTCGAAGCTCTTTTTCCATTTTTCACCATTCTAGTTACGAAGCTCGGTTCGTGTGTTGGGTGTTGTTTTGAGGTCTTTCGCACAGAATATGCCTCCTTTGCTAGGTATACAAGGATATACTTGCATCTGGATGACTTCATTACGGCATCTTGCGCATACGAATTGTGACTGGGTACATTGCAAAGTACATCAGGTCTTTTGACGTACTCGTGTCTTTGCAATGTGCAGAGCTTGCAAGTGGTTCGCATCCCACTATAAACTGTAGGTCTAAAGGGTGTGGTACAATAGATTCTGTTCTAATTTGAATCGCAGTGCCTCCAGCTGAAAAGCTGAGCCCTGCACACATTATTAACCTTGCATTTCTTAGCGAACGCACTTAAAATATATTTTTAAATTGCAAAGTTGGTAATTTTGTCATCATTTTAATGGCTTAAACTGCATCCAGAACACTTGTTTGTAATTTGGCATCCCTGGAATTTCATCTTATGGAACTTTGAGTCATAAATTTTTATGTAAGTGTTCTAGTTTGATTTCTTATTGCTTTTAAGTGATATGAATGAATTTATATGATGGCAATTGATTTTAAGGAAGATATGATCAGTTAGATATGATCTTAATAATATAATAATAATGTGTGAAGGGCCCAGCCTTTCAGCTGGAGGCACTGCGATTCAATTTGTAAAGAATCTAATGTTCCATACCCTTTACACCTACAGTTTATAGTGGGATCCGAACCACTAGCAACCTCTGCACATTGCAAAGACACGAGTATGTCATAAGATCTGATGTACCCTGCAATGTACCTAGTCACAATTCGTGTGCGCAAGATGCCGTAATGAAGTCATCCAGATGCTAGTATATCCTTGTATACCTAGCAAAGGAGGCAAGATATGATCTTACAATGGTTGACTTGACAAAAAGATTACGAAGGATCATAAGAACGAGCATAAAAACAAACAAGGAGACTAAATGGCAACCAGACAGACAAACGTAAGCTAAACAACAAAAAACCAAAAAGTCTGATAACCAGTGAAAACTTCAGTGATTTCAATTCATAGCTTTTCCATAAAAATTCATTAAAATTCGCAAGATAATTTTAACGCGAAAAGCACAAGGCGATTGATCGAATAAAAATCCGGTACCACGTCGTCGTGACTCTGGTATGTTGCTGGATTTAAATTGAAGTCATCATTATGCCAGACTAAGAACCTCAGAAACAGAATATCAAATAATGCTTTGTCCAATTAATCCAAACAAATTCAACTTCATAAATCAAATCGCTCATTGTAGAGAATAGAGCTTTAAACTTTAAAGAAACTAAGTTTTATTGTGATGAACGATGCTGCTCAGCTCGTTCATTAAAACTCTAGAGGAAATTAATTTGCTCGCTTTGCTACGAAAGGAATGACTTCTTATTCTTTAATGATGTTAGAAATTTCATCCAACATTCAGACACTTGAAACAATCCAGACGTAACTGAGTGTAAGCACAGACATTAAACTATTCTCGGATAATTATTTATAAACTTGCAAGCTACATCAATTTGGAGAACATACTCCCATGACAGAGGATGCTCAATTAAAGATACATATTTTAGAAGATGTTAATGTCAAGGTCAAAGTAGTTGCTTAAATACAAAATAATTTTAATTTTGACTGTTGCTGAAAACTTGTTTTCTTTCTCATTCCCTATGACACTTTGAAGTAATGTCAAAAGTTTTTTTATTTCCTGTTCTTTGCATTTCGAAATATTAATTTTTTACTGTTGAAAACGTTTTCTGGAAAGGAAGGAATTCACTCTGTTATGATTTTCGAGTTAATGGAAGTTCAGTTTTTTCTGGAATAAATTTCGAATTAACTTCAAAGTTTATTGCTGATTTTTAAATTAAGACATGTAATGAAAGTCTGTTTTATTGCAATTTTAAAACTCTGTATGGCAGTGCCGTGGGCAAGAATTTGAAAAAGGGGGGACAAAAAAATATATTTCGAAAATTTAAGGGGGGAAGGGTAAGATTTTTTTATAAAAACCGTGGCAAAATGAAGAAATTTCTGTTAACGTCTGTCCCACCATAGCTGTCCCAGCGCCTGCTGTATGCTTATTTGTTTGAGTGTACGGTAACAGTTAAGGTGACTATATTAGTTGCATTGAATACTGGTCAAGGTAACCTCATTTAGCTTTCCCAGTAAAAACTTTTAAATTGATTGATTGTTTGATTTTAGTTTATTGACCCTCTCGGGTGGTTCAAAAAATTACAAAAGTCCTCGTGTTATTGATCGAGGGACTTCAGCGCATTTTTGACGCAGCGATCAGCATTTGATTGGCCTATTAACATGGATTCAGTAGTAAAATACAGTACAATATTTATTCACAAAAAGGGTTTTGTTATTCAACAATTTTCTAAAATTCAAATTTTAACGGTTTTTTGATATTCAAAATTTTTTAACGATAGAAATAAATTCGAATTTGTAAACGCTCTCATCACGTGTTTTTTCATATAAAATATAAAATTCATTAATTATAGTATTTATCCATTGTTTTACGGTTCGAAAACAATCGATAAGCCAATAAAACAATGGAACAGAGCTAATAAAACAGACTAGAGCTCTCTACGATGTCTGGTTAATGAGATCTCAGACACAGCCGAGCAGCCGAACAAAGTGAATTATTAAGCTACCTTTTGAAACCAGTTTCAAAAATGCGCTAAAAAATTAGAATTTGAAAAAAATAAAAACTTTTTAAAATTGAGATTAGAAATATTATGCACTTAAAAAAATAGAAATAATCATTAACTTTATATGCATAAACGATACAGTTACATCTCATGAATTATGCTGATTTAAATAAGTTTAAAAAATGAAAGAAGTTTAAGAATCTAATTACCCCCCCTCTTTCCAACCACATAAAGTGTCATTTTTTATATTCAAGTATTATTCTGCCATCAAATGTCAGAACGCTCAAAAATTTACTTGAAATCTTAAGTTTGTTGCACCATCGACAACTCTATATAATATAATATTTTGAATAAATTTTGAGGAGCAATCAAATGATTTTAAGCTTTTGTTTAAGCAGATGCAATTTTTCATGGGACAAAAAAAAATCGTAAAATAATAAAACTAAAATTAGATTCTACGAAGGAGTTAAGCTTAATAGTCATCAAGTTATGATGTCGTTTCTTTTTTCATTTTTAAAAATTTGATATCCCATGATTTTTAAATTTTTTAATTCTTATGAATATTTACCAAAGATGGAATTGAAAAAACAATTAACATTTTGAGACAAGTTAATAAAATTGTTTATTCAAACGAGTTTGAAGATCTGTGAAGTCGGTGCATTTTTTAAAAGAAAGAAGAGAGCCTTAATCTTTTGCTTTAGAAGATTGCATTATGAAAATTCTTAAATAATTATAACAGTGATTAATAATCTGAAAATAAGCATATTTAAAAAAAAGATGATTCATTTCAAATCAACGTTTAATTTTATTCAAAATATTTTTATCTTTTGAATGAATCTATAGTAGCTTGTTGGAGTAAAAAATAGCTGAATGGTTCTACGCATCACAAAAATTTGAAAATAAAAACAATACTTATCAATGAATTCATTTTTAATTAATCGACTTTCGCTCTTATTTTTGGAGTTCGCTTCCTGAATAATAAAAAACTTAGCACCACAAAAATAGCGAAATATATTAAAAACTGATTCAAAGGAGTTCCAAAGAAGCTCATACTTCCAAAGTCCTTAGCATAAACAATTCGATTCTTTATGGCATTATTGACATGCCACACTATAAGATCTCGATTACTGATAGGCTGATCATATGCCAATGACCGGACTTTCCTCAAATTTGCAATATATTTTGGTTTTGTCATTTCTTGTATTGCTGCACTAAGTTCAAACTCATCAAAATTATTCAAATCCATCTCCATTCCAATTCCTTTATCAACTAAAATTCGTGCATTAACAGGTTGGTCATAAGTCAATGGAAATGCAATCATTGGAACTCCTCTGTCAATTGCTTCGTACAATGAAAATATTCCACCATGAAAAATCAACAATTTCACATTTGGATGTGCCAGGACATCAGCTAGAGGCAGCCAAGAAACAATTTTCACATTCTTCGGCACTTTGACACTATCCTCAATCCCATCAAGCTTCCATAAAACACTCATGTTGCTTGTTTTAAATGAATTCAAAAACTTATTAATCACATCAGTTCCCAATTTTTTTCCACTTACTCTTGAGCCAAGAGCTTTCACGATCACTCCATTGCTTGACATATCCAGAAACTTTTTTAATTCTAAATCCTTTATTGGTTTTGGCTTCTCAACATGAGTAAATCCAATCTGAATCGAGTGTGGCATCATTGGACGAACATGTCCAACTGCATGATTTGTATTGAGCATAAGAAGTGATAGGCGATTTGATGGTGGTTCGAAGGCTTTCATACCCAAATGCAAGAAGTGATTATAATTTATTATTACACTTAGAAAGATGTAGACAGGATTAAAAATAAGTTCTTGATAAATTTTGAAAACCACGGAGTTAATTTTCTCATTAAATGTCAATTTTCCATGTTGGTATGGTAAAATTAAGCTTTCAGGATATTTTAATATATTTGCATCATTTCCGAATAGTGCATGAGCCATCCCACCTATTTCTGTAGCACTGAGCATTGAAACGGGACAGTCGTAGATTTCAGAAAATAGCAAGAATGGACAGATGAAGCATTCAACGATTACCAAGTCAAATTGATAGTTTGAGCTGTTTTTGATCAATCTTTGAATTTCTGGATGCTCCATTTCCTTTCTTACACTCAAATAATGAGCTTTTAAGTCATGAAACAATGACATTTCAACATAATTAATTTTCTTCTGCTTATACATCAGCATGTCTGTGTGCTCAATGTGAATTTTATTGGATTCGGTAAATAAATGTTGAGTGACATTTGGATTGTCACCATAATCATGAGGATGTGACGTAAAAATTGTCAAGTTATGTCCTTCTTCGGCTAATATTTCCAAAACTTTATGATGAAAGTGCTGATGACTGTAGAAAGGATAAGAAAAAAATGCAAGAATATTTGCAGACTCAACTTTGATTGAAAATATTAAAAAAATCACAAACTTAATTGTTTGCATTTTGATCCGTTTAGTTTGAAATCAGACAATAAACTGAGATGCAAAAACTTATAGACTCACATTTTCTATGCACATATATGTGAAATATACGACGTACGATTTTTTTTTTTTGTAAACTCTTCACATTATTTGTATTTGCAAATACCGGAATAATAACCAATTTATTTCGAATTAAAGCACGGATTCCAACACCAAAGGATAAACTGGATTCGACTTGATAAATTGTTGGGAGGGCTTAGCATTTTGATATGAAGCCACACAATTTGTTAAGTCAGAATCTATTGTACCACACCCTTTAGATCTACAGTTTATGGTAAGCAGTTAAGTGCCTTGCTGGTCGATTAGGTATGGCGCTTGGATCAAATTTGGGATTGTAACTCGAAGATCGTCGGTTCGAATCCAGAGATTTCCAAATTTGTTCTTTTTCGGAAGTTTAGATACTTCGACTGCTTAATGTACGAGATCAAGCTATAATTGGGCATTTGGGCTACGTTGGATTAAGGAACGGGTCAGGAACTTGAAAGGTATCTCGAGAAATAAGGAACGAGAGCTACAAGATTACCAAAGAATGGAATATTGTTAGAACAACACAAGAACCGAGCTTCGTAACCAGAAATATTAAATGGAATAAGAGCATTTAAAACTTGACTTGACGTTGAATTGAAGCGAGAATCATTGGCACGAAAGGCCAATGCTCTACCAATAAGTCCTCTGATATGATTTCACCGCAAAGATTAAAAGTCGAAATATTAATTTTATTCAACTACTTTGAAATATTTCTTATTTGACCATTCTATATCCTTAAAATCGAGCTTCGCCTTTTCTTGTTTTTTTTTTATTATTTTAATTTTGAAAAAAAAGAAAATAAATTTTTGTTTAGCCATAGCGCGTGTGGACGATTAAAATATTTGCAAAATAAATAAATAATTTTAAAAATGTCACTTTTTCGAATTTCTTGGAAACTATAAACTCTTATTTCTACAATTCTTAAATTAATTCTCATAACTGGCTCCTCAATACTTCGTCCAAACGAATATCTCATTTAAAATCAATGTCATCATTGGACACAGACAATGCTACTACAATTTTTAACGCATTTTTAAAACTTGTTTCGAAAAGGTAGCTGAATAATTCACTTTACTCGTTCGTTTGTTCTTTCGGATGGGAGAAGAAAAACTTTTTAACCAGACATCGTAGAAAGCTCGGGTTTGTCTTATTAGCTTTGTTACTATCGATTTATCGGCCCATCGAGTGGTTAAAATTCTTTAAATCATGTATTTATACTATAATTAATGTTTTTTTTTATATCATATGAAAAACCACGTGATGAGTAAGTATAAAAATTTCAATTTTTTCTAATGCTTAAAAATTATTCAGAATGCGTTCAGAAATTCAAATTTATTTCGAGCCTTAAAATATTTGAATCTCAAAAAACCGTTCAATGAAAAATTCTTTTGAGTTCAAGAAAAAGGTTAAATGACAAATTCTGTTGAATTCGAGAGTCTTTTGTTGTGAAAATTGATTTTTTTTTGTTAAGTCTCTCGATCAATATCACGAGGACTTTTGTAGTTTTTTCAGTTTTTTAATAGTTTATTTTTAAAGCTTTTTAAGAATAAGTAAGTATTATTGAGAATATATTAAAGGTTACTTTATATTCAAATTATGAAAACAATAAATAGTTGATTTCCCCTTGTATAGTTGTTAGCTCCTTCATAGAAATATTTAGTCTGCTTCTGATCACTGAAGAATAAACTTCGGAGTTAATAATTTGAATCCATTATGAATAGTTAATTAAATTTATTAATAGGTAAGCATTAAATTTATTAAACCGGATCAAACCAATAAGTATAGTATTAGTATTAATATAGTAATAGTTTAAATGTATATGAAATGATTCAGCAACAAACTCTATTCTTTTAATGACAAAGCAATAAACAAATTTGTGTGATATTAAAACAATCGAAATCATCATAACTATAGCTTGCTTTAAATTGAAGGAATTTCCTGGTTTTGGCAACAAATCGATAAATTTGACATCAGAATGGGTTTTCCAAATTTTTATGCAGGAATGTTATAGACGAGAATATTTTAGTACTAAAGACTTTTTACTTTATTTATTGAAATTCTCTTTCTCAAAAATAAATAAATTAAAGTTACAAAAATAATCAAATATATTAAAAACTGATTCAACGGAGTTCCAAAGAAGCTCATACTGCCAAAATCCTTAGCATAAACAATTCGATTTTTTATGGCATTATTGACATGCCACACTATAAGATCTCGATTATTTATAGGCTGATCATATGCCAATGACCGCACTTTCCTCAAATTTACAATATATTTTGGTTTTGTCATTTCTTGTATTGCTGCACTAAGTTTAAACTCGTCAAAATTATTCAAATCCATCTCCATTCCAATTCCTTTATCAACTAAAATTCGTGCATTTACTGGCTGATCAACAGTCAATGGAAATGCAATCATTGGAACTCCTCTGTCAATTGCTTCGTACAATGAAAATATTCCACCATGAAAAATCAACAATTTCACATTTGGATGTGCCAGGACATCAGCTAGAGGCAGCCATGACACAATTTTCACATTCTTCGGCACTTTGACACTATCCTCAATTCCATCAAGCTTCCATAAAACACTCATGTTGCTTGTTTTAAATGAATTCAAAAACTTATTAATCACATCAGTTCCCAATTTTTTCGCACTTACTCTTGAGCCAAGAGCTTTCACGATCACTCCATTGCTTGACATATCCAGAAACTTTTTTAATTCTAAATCCTTTATTGGTTTTGGCTTCTCGACATGAGTAAATCCAATCTGAATCGAGTGTGGCATCATTGGACGAACATGTCCAACTGCATGATTTGTATTGAGCATAAGAAGTGATAGGCGATTTGATGGTGGTTCGAAGGCTTTCATACCCAAATGTATGAAATGGTTGTAGTTTATTATTGCACTTAGGAAGATGTAGACAGGATTAAAAATCAGTTCTTGGTAAATAATAAAAACCATTGAGTCTAGTTTTTCGATGATTGACAATTTTCCATGTTGGGATGGTAAAATCATACTTTCAGGATATTTCAATGGATTTGCATCATTTCCGAATAGTGCATGAGCCATCCCACCTATTTCTGTGGCACTAAGGATTGCAACTGGACAGTCGTAGATTTCAGCAAACAGGAAATGAGGACAGATTAAGCATTCAACGATTACCAAGTCAAATTGATAGTTTGAGGTGTTTTTAATCAATCTTTGAATTTCTGGATGCTCCATTTCCTTACTTACTGAATAAAAATGTGCCTTTAACTCATGGAACATTGACATTTTGACATAATTAATATTTGTCTGCTTATACATCAGCATGTCTGAATATTTGTTGAAAATTTTAAAGGATTCGGTAAATAAATGTTGAGTGACATTCGGATTGTCTCTATAATCATGTGGATGCGACGTAAAAATTGTCAAGTTGTGTCCTTCTTCGGCTAATATTTCCAAAACTTTATGATGAAAGTGCTGATGACTGTATGCAGGATATGAAAAAATCGCGAGAATATTTGCAGACTCAACTTTGATTAAATATATTGAAAAAATCACAAAATTTAAAACTCTCATTTTATTCTAATTAGCTTGAAGGCTGGAAGCTTACTAAAATGCAAGAACACAACTTATATTAATTTAAATACAAAGTACAAAAATTATAAAGAATAGTTTACCAATTTATTATATCTTATTAAAGTGCTGATTTATTGATTATTTAAGATATTTTAACTAAGCGATTAGCCACGAGCTTCTTAACTTGCAAGTTCTTGTCCAGTATTAATTCTCAAACAATGAAAAAAGAACAATTTTGCGAAAATCCCAGCTAGGCTATAGAATTATTATGGGTTTTTACCTCCACGACGGAATGATCTTATTTCAGAATCAAAATTTCTTATTGCAATTTTCTTATTATTCTTTCGATACCAACAACTTTGTAAACACATCTTAAGATGACTGTATCGTGGCATTGACTTAGAAGTTTTTGGCGGGAAATCTTAGACAACAGAATATCTTTCCATGAATGGCACAAGTCGATTAATCGATCAGTGTCAGTCTAGCATGGAGCTGGATTTAAATCGATGCCAGCACAATCACCATGCCAGCTTGGCGCTGGATTTCTATTCGATTAACCGATTTTTGCTGTTCGAGATATTTTTAATAAAGCAACGGAACCAAGGAGCTTAGCCTTTTAGTCTTAATGACTTTTCACATTTTTTTGGAACTCTCTTTTTTAAAACTAAATAAATTAAAGCTACAAAAACAATTAAATATACTAAATACTGATTTAATGGTGATCTAAAGATGCTGAAACTTCCAAAGTCCTTAGCATAAACAATTCGATTCTTTATGGCATTATTGACATGCCACACTATAAGATCTCGATTATTTATAGGCTGATCATATGCCAATGACCGCACTTTCCTCAAATTTGCAATATATTTTGGTTTTGTCATTTCTTGAATTGCTGCACTAAGTTCAAACTCATCAAAATTATTCAAATCCATCTCCATTCCAATTCCTTTATCAACTATAATTCGTGCATTAACAGGTTGGTCATAAGTCAATGGAAATGCAATCATTGGAACTCCTCTGTCAATTGCTTCGTATAATGAAAATATTCCACCGTGAAAAATCAACAATTTCACATTTGGATGTGCCAGGACATCAGCTAGAGGCAGCCATGACACAATTTTCACATTCTTCGGCACTTTGACACTATCCTCAATTCCATCGAGCTTCCATAAAACACTCATATTAGTCATATTAAAAGCATTCATGAATTTGTTGAAATTTTCAATTCCTAAGCTTCTCATATTGACCATGGAACCAAAAGCTTTGATAATTACTCCATTGCTTGACATATCCAGGAACTTCTTTAATTCTAAATCCTTTATTGGTTTTGGCTTCTCAACATGAGTAAATCCAATCTGAATTGAGTGTGGCATCATCGGTCGAACATGTCCAACTGCATGATTTGTATTAAGCATAAGAAGTGATAGGCGATTTGATGGTGGTTCAAACGCTTTCATACCCAAATGTATGAAATGGTTGTAGTTTATTATTGCACTTAGAAAGATGTAAACAAAGTTGAAGATCAGTTCTTGATAAGTTTTGTAAATAACAGAGTCTATTTTCTCGTAAAATGTTAATTTTCCATGCTGATATGGCAGAATTTGACTTTCGGGATATTTCAATGGATTTGCGTCATTTCCAAACAATTCATGGATTATAGCTGATATCTCTGTAGCGCTGAGGATTGCAACTGGACAATCGTAAATTTCAGCAAACAGGAAATATGGACAGATGAAGCATTCAACGATCAGTAAGTCAAATTGATAGTCTGAGGTGTTTTTGATCAATTTTTGAATTTCTGGATGTTCCATTTCTTTACTCACTGAATAAAAATGTGCCTTTAACTCATGGAACATTGACATTTTGACATAATTTATATTCTTCTGCTTATACATCAGCATGTCTGTGTGTTCCTTATGTATTTTATTTGATTCAGTAAATGAATGTTGAGTGACATTCGGATTGTCACCATAATCATGTGGATGTGACGTAAAAATTGTCAAATTGTGTCCTTGTTCGGCTAATATTTCCAAAACTTTATGATGAAAGTGCTGATGACTGTATGCAGGATATGACAAAATCGCGAGAATATTTGCAGACTCAACTTTGACTAAAAATATTAAAAATATCACGAAATTTAAGCTTCTCATTTTGTTCTATTTGGCTTGAAGTCTGAAAACAAACTGAAATGCAACAACTAAAATTTTAAGAATTTTATAAAATTTATATATTTTGATATTTTCTTGGGTTTTTTCTGAGACATTAATATCTTGTTGGAGGAAAATTTCTCTTTTTCGGATGATTTATCATCGTGAATTTGTTCAAGAATCTTTTGGAATTAAAAATTTAAAATTCACTGTCAAGCGTTTTGGTAAATACGATCTAAAATGGACAAGCAGTCGTGTCGACTTGTTATGCAGCCATCCCACAAAATATCTAGCCGAACGCTGACACCTTTTTTGAAATTTGTGCAACTCAACTTGCCTGTATTCAAACAGCTGTGTATTAGACTCTCGCTAAGTTCATTAAATTGATATGAATTAGGTTACATTTGGCATTTTTTGAAGGAGGGGATTAAGTAATTCTTATGAAGGGACTCGTGGATTTTATTTCTCGAAATTTATTGTCAAGTTGATGAATTTTCCATTGAACCCAAAACTCCACTCCTGACTTTGCACGTCTACCATAACCTCAAAAAAATTAAGTAGAACAGTGTTTCTCAAACCATGTGCCGCGGCACACTAGTGTGCCGTGACGAGACTATGCTAGTGTATCATGAAAAAATTTAAAAAAGAAAAGTATGGCGTGCACAAAAAAAGTTGAGAAACACTGGTTTAGAGCTAGAAAATAAGCAACTTAAATCACCAAAAATTTAAATCAAAATTGTTATCAGGGGCCGTTCGCATTTTAAGGGGGGAGGGGGAGGTTTTAAAAATTGTAACAAATGTAACATATGGGGGGGGGGGGGTGTCAAGAAGTATGTAACGTTCAAACTGTCGTCTGTCTTTTAAAAAAAAGTTCACCAAAAAATTTGTTTTCAAATTCACACCAAAAATATATTTTTTTAATTTTCCACCTTTATGAAAAATTATCAAAATAAAATAAATTATGAACGTTCAGGGGGGGGGGGGGGGGGGGGGTTGTGAGTTGTAACATATTGTAACAAGGGGAAGGAGGGGGGGGGGTGAAAAAAGTCGTTTTTTGCGTAACGTAATAAGTGAACGGCCCCTTACGAATACTTCAATAAGCAACAATTTAATAAAAAATTTCAATTTATTTTCCATCACTGACTCCTCATTTCCTCGTTCAAGCTGATGTCTTATGTAATTTAAAAAAGAAATTTACAATATTTTTATGATTGGACATTGACAAAGCTGACACAATTTATAAATAATTCATTTTGGAAACTTTTTCATCGTGAGAACAGTCAATTTGAATAAAATTGTCCGAAGAAAATGATTCAGCTACAATGATTAAGGCGTTTTTCTAAACTAGAGGTTTTTTTCTAGATTTTGGTGGGATATTTTTTATAGACCGACATTTTTGTGAGCTTTTAGCAAGTCATGTTGGGGGCTGTTCACTTATGACGTCCATGGGGGGTCAGCAAGAAAAAAACAATAGAAATTCCTGGAACTTCAATTATTCTTTTTTGAAAAATGACCATTTATTTTTGACGTTATAAGTGAACGACTTCTTTGATGATTAAGTAAAAAACGGTCATATAAGAACTTCTTCAATCCGACTAGCATCTAATATCTACTGAATAGACTGGTCATATGGCTCAAAGAATCCTTTATTAAGTGTTATCGTCAATGAAGTAGTTCAGATCTTTTATAGATTGATCAGCACACATTGAAAAGTTTGCCACATGGCAACCGGGTTAAAATTATAATTAGAACCAAGCGGATGCTGCTTGAAAGCTGTTTCCAATTGGCTGAAAATTTGCCTCCGCATGGTTCTAATTATACTATTAACCCGGCTGTCGTGTGTCAAACATTTCAATTGATTTCAATGTGTACTGATCAGGTAGGTTATGCAAATCCTCATTCGTTAAACTTTTACTAGACACAAAACACCTATCTGCACCTATGGATCTTCCAGAACTCAAATTAACATCATAATCTCAAAAAAATCTTCATTCCTTATTCCTAATGACAAATTGATCCGATAAAAAAAATCTTTCAAGTCAAATTTTCACCATCATTAAAGCATTTATGCAGCACATCAACCTCCCCACCCCTCAAAAAAAAAAGCTTGACTTAAAAAGCAATAAATTTAGAACCCCTACCAAGAAACTGCCAGAAAAACGTCAATTACACATTTAAACAAAAAAAAAAACCTTGTACCTTTCCATCATCCAAGATGAATGACGAAAAATATAAGGCAAAATTGTCGCAAATGATTTACCGTAATTTAGAGAAAAAGACGTAGAAAAATGCCTTTAAGGAAGGAAGCACAGAAAAGGGAGAACATTAAAATTAAGGATGAGAAAAAAAATCACTTAACAATGAATTTCTTTACTTCCTATTCAGTTTACTTTACATAGCCTCAAGTTATGAATGTTCAGTAAATAATTTTGTGAATGAAAATTTCATTCAACATTTTTGTTCCTTTTGATATTTTGTAAGATTCATTAGACTTTCAATAATTTGGTATTTTAAATTTTTAATCTCTATGGAACATTAAGGTAGGACTTGAATCGACACACCCATAAAGATGTTCTTATGATTTTTGGTTGGAATCTTTAGCCATTCAGTCACTTGACAAATTATACCAGTTGATATATTAATAAATTTATTAATATTGTTACTCTGGTGCAGTGTTTCTCAAGAAGCAAAAGTGCCTTGATAGCTCAGTTGGAAAGGAATAAATCATAAATGTTTGTGTTGAACTTGGATTCTTGGGTTCAAATCCCACCAGTCTAAAATCTTCAACTTCTTGAGTTTAAGATGTAAAGTCTAAGAATTAAATAAATGTAAGATGTAGCAAGTTGATCGGAAGTGACTCTGTGGCGGAATGGTGCAGTACTGCAATCCCTAAATATTGATAAAAAGACACAGCGATCATGGTTCGAGACTCAGCAATTGGAGATTTTTCACTTGTCATTTTTTGAACCATATGCACTAGAAATGAGACTCACAGCCTTCATTTGTAGGCTTACAGGCAGAAATGTAATCAAAAGAGTGGTTCGGATCCTGCAATAAACTGTAGGTCTAGGTTTCAGCGGGAGGTTTGGCGAATCCTCTCGCGTTAAACTATCATCAGCCTTCTAGTGCTTATAACACGCAGCTCTGGATGGTTTTAAGGTCTGAACTGCTAGTTTTTTTAGATGTAGGAACTGGTCAAAAAATTAATTGACTGCTTCTTAGTGAAGATTATGCGCTATATACTGAGCTAGCGTACATAATACAGATTTAAGAATTTATTAATGCAAGGAATAAAATTTTTGCGCTTTAAAAAATAAAAATTCCAATCGATAAGCCAAAAATTCTTTAATAAGTCTTAATAAAGGAAGGCTTGGATTCAAAATTTTCCGATTTTCAGGTTTTTGGGTTAATCATCGATCTCATCCAAATGTCAATCAACATCATCACAAAACCCCAAAAAATATAAGTCGCATTTCCACAAAAGCTCATCAATAATAGAATTAAAAGCAACAACAATAAAACTGAAAATCCAGATGGGTTCCAAAAACAAATTCCCTGAATAATGAATTATCAAATGTGAATGGATGAGATAAGCAGCTCGATCCAGCACAGGAAAAAAAGGCTCATCGACAAAAAAAAACGGTGGCTGAGCATCAATCATTTTAGTCGATGTTGATGCGATGCGACAGAAAATTCGTAAATTATTTGCCTAACAAATTTCAAATTTATGGACACATAGGAATAATCATGATGTAGAGATAGACATTTTGTGTAACTCGACACACAAATAAAAATTAAATTTATGGCTTTTTTTTTGTCAAACTCAAATGGTTAAACTTCTTTAGTCTGCAAAATTGATGTCATTGTATGCTTGCATGGATGATGCTCTTAAACTTGATACATTGTCAATCTGATGAGTCATCCATGATTGATGATTAAACGCTCAAAAGAGACACTCACATCAGTTTGAGTGAGATTGACCAAAAACATTTTAGAATTTATTTTCTATGCTGTTTTTTTTATAGCTTGATTTTTTTTAAAACTTTATTGATTGAGACTTAGATATTAAAATTGATGAGGATAGAAAATTAGCTATTGGATTAATCTGAAACTATTATACACAAAAAATTGCGCAGCTGAGACTAAGACAATTTATTAAAAGAGATCCTTACTATGGGATTGTTCACTTATGATGTCCATGATTAACGGTCATTTTTCAAAGAAGGACAATGGAATTCCAGGAATTTCTATTGTTCTTTTCTTGCTGACCCCCCCCCCCCCCCCCCCCCAGCCCTGAACGTCATAATTGAACGGTTCCTAAAGATATTAGTGTATAAAAAAAATGATCCCTTCTAGTATATACGAATCCTTAATGACAGATTAGGCTTTAATTGACAGAATATAGAGTTTTTATAGTCTATGCTTTTCCTTTTTTGTATCATATGGCAAAGAGTGATGCTTCAAGAGCCGATATATGGAGCTTCTAAACTTAATAGAAGTATATATTAGTAGGTAGATGTCCAAACCTGTGATCGTGGTCTGAACTAGTTATGTATTGTTTAAGAGAGGTCGATACTAGTGGATAGAGCTGCAAACTAGTTATATAGATATCTGAACACCTTAAAAGAAGTTCATACTAGTAGATAGAGTTCGGATCTGGTGGATAGAGCTCTGAACCAGTACATAGAGGTCCATACTCATGGAAAGAAGTCCAAACTAGTGGATAGAGCTCCAACTTAGTAGATAGAGCTTTGAACTAATGTAAGAGGTCCATACTAGAACATAGAAGTCCACACTAGTGGATAGATGTCCATCCTAGTGAATCCGACCTAGTAGAAAAAGCTACGAACTAGTTGTATAGAAATCAGAACTAGGTCCAAACTAGTTGATAGAGCTCTGACCTAGTAGATTGAGCTATGAACCAGTAGATAAAGATCCCGAACTAGAATACAATAATATTATAAAATATTAAAAAGTCATATATGAAAAAATGCTTGAATCCTTCTTGACCTCCTTAAAAATCAAAAAATAAACTTCGCTTCCAGCATAAAAAACATCAAAGTCCATTTTTTAACAAAACATTAAAAGAACCATTCTTAATTCACATAAAACGAAATAATTTTTCAGTATTAACTCAGTGACAATCACTCATAAAAATACAAAAAAGCAGCTCAAAAGAACATCCATAAATATCACTTCCATCTTTCTGTCCCCTCAAATCCATATTGCTTATTAAAATTTCAAAGCATAAATAAACAGCTTTTATTTTGATCATATTTCACTCGCATTCCTCATAAAAAGCTATTTTTTCAATTTTAAGCCTACATGGAAAAAAAAATATGGCAGCATGGGAGTCTCATTCGTACGCAGTGAATATTCATCATTGTCAACCGACAAAGTTGTAAAGAATATACAAGTCCATGTATTCAAAAGCAGACAAACAGTGTCATGTTCTATTTACTGACATTGTGTTGTGTCTTGTCACAGAGATTTTATTTCTCCGATAACAGGCCTTCCTTTTTTTTACTGTCGCGTATCCTACTTACTTCGAAACATTCGAGGGTGATGGAGATAAAAACAACAGCACCAAATGTCAACAAAAAATAAGATCATTGAGAATAAGAATAAAGCCTTTTATTTATTTATGATGATGTGGAATTTTTCTGTTACATTTTATGTCTTAAAATATTTTTTTGGAGCTGCCAAAAAATTATTTTCTCTCGAAAGAGAGGAAAGAGGGATTGGGAAAGCCGAAGTCTGACTCCGAAGCTGACCAACTGCAGGTGCATACCTTCTCATGGTATTCCTTGATACCGTTAAATGCATCGCTGGCAACTTAGACCTGTGCCGGAATAAGTACTTCCTGGGCATCTAGCTCCAAAAGCTACTTGGCGCAGAACAGTGTTGAAAGCTGCTGAATGTCAGCTGAATTTCAGCTGAATATCAGCTGAATGTGCAGACAGAGAAGTTGTACAAACTAGGTGACAGAGCTAGCAACAGCATCAGATGGAAAGCTTTTTGTTGTAACTTAAAAAACATTGTTTCTCATAGTCATAGTCTCATGTCACATAGGAACATGTCCACATAGGAACATTGTTACAGTAAGTAAGTGCGTTTTTACAGGAAAATTTCCTACTTAGACGTCTTGTCAGGATGTTGAGTATGTGGGGCTTCGTTAGGGGGAAAACAACTTGTTGAGGAAAAATTTCTTTCACACGTTGTCGAAAAATATTTTTAATTCCTTTAGAAAATGTCAAAAAAAATTAAATTTTCCAACAATATTTTCCCATTAAGCAGTTATCCTCCTAGGTTCTGGGCTGTAGGAAATTCTGAAGTTATATCAATGACCTTTGTTATTCTTTAAAAGATTTCTTATTACTCCTAAAATTTCCTTAATTTAAACCTGAGTCACAAGAACTATAATGCTTTAAATGAACCCTCAAATTACTTCTGAAAGCACCACAAAAATTTAATTCCAGCATCATTAAATTCAATTACATTTTGAGGTAATGGCACTTGAAAAGCTTCAAATTCTCTTCCGTATAATTATTTTTAATGTGATTTTCATGAAAAAAAATTTACATTCAGTTCATTGGTCGATCGATCATCTTAAAAGCTGCTCTACTTGCTCTTATTTTTCCATCCCTCTTAAAGACTTAATAAGCAGCATGGAAAAAAATAAGTTTGTGGTGTGGGATGAAAATCTGTTCTTCTTTTTTGTCCTGTTCTGCTTGTTTGCTTTTTTTTTTTGGAAAGACTTTATTTACTGCCAAAATAAATAGACAGTAACGAAATTAAACTCATCAATAAATTTCTTGGAGCTTCTTGTTTGGGAGTTTTTTTTCTTTTCGACAGACTTTAATGAGAAAAAAAGTTCTTTTTGTTGTAGTTTTTTTGGTGTCTTGTTGTCTCATTGGTCATGTAATGCACTTATGGATTGTGGAAAAAATTCTAGTGACTTATGATGACTAAGTATTTTGCACAGATGCCATTTTAGTGTAAGCAAAATTTCGGTGGTGGAATGGTTTAGTACTTCGGTTCTTTATTATTGCAATACTGACACAGCGATCATGGGTTCGAGTCTCGGTTTGGGAAAATTTTTACTTGTCCTTTTTCGAATCATATGTACTGGAAATGAGGCTCACAGCCTTCCTTTGTAGGCTACAGCCAGTAATGTCATTGAAGGAGTGGCTCGGATCCCACTTTTATTTGTAGATCTAGATTTGAGTGCAGTGGTTTGTGGCAGCTTCACTCGTTAAACTCTCATTAGCTGCAAAATGCCCTGGTGCTCTTCTCGATTGGAATTGCTCTGAATAGGGAAAGGTTCTTTTAAAAGAAGCAAGTAGTAAACAGTGAGAAGTAGTAAAATTTCTATACTAACTTTTTAGTCCTCCATAGACGTAGCCAGGGGGTCCAAAAAACTATGTGGTCCTTTTTTGAAATCCACTAATACTTTTTACTAATGCTTTTGTACTTAACCTATCCAATAAGAGGGGATCGAAACTAAATTCACTGGAAAAATATTTTTAAGACCCCTCCTCCCCCCTCCACCCGACTCCCCCTTTACCCTATTTCTAAACCTTACAATATATGCGTTCCATCCACCAACCAACATATGATCATCTCATAAAGCAATAACTTTTTTTTCTTTTCTTTCCAATCCCATTACCTCCTATTCCATAAGCTGCAAAAAAGTAAGAGAAATTCTCAGCTCCATGACGACAAGTGATGAGTTAAGGCAAAAGAAAAATATTTCAGGATCAAATGAGATGAACGAGAGCAAAGGATAGAATAAAAATAACAAAGTTTGATGTTTGCAGCTATTGAAGAGATTGAAACTGAAACTTTCTTCTGATTCCATTACGTAGAATAATCTTCCGTGAAATGAATTTCATTTATACGATATTTACTTATGAGGAACAGCACCATTTGTCGTTAGTATTGTGAAGCTATTAGAATTTTTAAATATAAACTTTAGTTTTATCAGTTTTAACTTGCAAATTGATGGTCGAGCAGTTTCTTTAGTGCATATTTCATTCTTTTATTTCCATTTTTTTGGCATTAAAATTGGGAATCACCGAAATTATAAAAAAAAACGAGAATTTAAAATCAGAACTTATTCTTTTTATAATTCTTTGGAATTTTGGAAACTCTACGTGTGTAAAATATCGTATCAAGTTTTTTATATCATTTCTTTGCCATTGAGGGAACTTACTATGCAAAAACGAGTCGTTTAGACACACCTCAAAATATTTTTTATATAAAAATGCATTTATTTATTTTGCTTTGTATTATAAACTTTATTTGAGTTGATCTTCAACAAAAAAAAATTTTTAAATACCATTATTTTCGAAAGAACATTTTAGAGCAGTGGTGTCGAACCTTTTTTGTGCTACTGCACACTTACTGTTAAGCCATGTGTAAAACCGCATGCAGCATACGACTCGTGGCATATCCCAAAAATTTTCAGGGTGCACTAGTGTGCCGCAGCACACGGGTTGACCATTACTGTTTTCAAAATATCAAGTTAGGAAGCTAGTTTAGTTAAGTGTATCCCAATGCATCTAAAATTGTCCTGGTAAATAGGATCTTTACATTAAAATTTTGTTTCAAACTTCTCAGCTTCCCCCCCCCCCCCAAAACCCCCGAATTAAAAATTTTTCTTCAATAACCTGTCTTTTTGGTAGATGATCTTATTATGCTCTGTAGAGTTTGTTTAAATTCATACTTGATTGATTGATACGCGACTGTAGCAATTTAATTGTGATCTTTGACATCCCTCAGATGTCGCCTACATCTGGATCTATCGCTGATACCGATTGCTACTTCCCTTTACCAAATGCCAAACTGTAAACAGCCTCTTTCCATAAGTTCTTTTGCTTTTCCCATGCAAGTTTATCTGAGAATAAAGGAAGGGCTTTTGTAAGCCCTAGAAATAATCTTAAAGGACTAGATAAAGACTTCCTTATCTAACCTCTTTTAAAGTTTCAAAATTCCTCTTATTTTTAATTTTTTTAAAAATCTTGAGCTTGATCCACGCACTAAAGTATCTACTCTGTGATCGATAAAACAGTTTCTTCCAAAACTAGCTTTTATTTAAATAAATAAAGACATCCACAGTTTTATTTTTTCATTATCAAATGAAAGTGAAACGCCTTAAATGCCGTTCTTAAAAATTCAAAAGAATTCACCACGTTCCTCCAAAAAAAAGCTTAACATTGACATTGAATAAGACTTAAAGCTTCATTTTCTTCCACGAAATAAAACATAAACATAAGCTCTGCCTACAACCTACATGAATCCGATTGATTTTTAATGCTGAATGAAATAAAAGGTCGACAATTTTTTTCCTATTTTACGCCAACGCTGAAAATTTGGAGATTTAAGAACAAGCACTGTAAGTGACGTTTGTTAAATAAATAAAAAATAAGAATTAATTTGCATCGGAAACAAGTTTTAAGACATTTTATTGATGATCCGCAAATTTTCTCGTATCATGAATCACAAATGGAACTAATTTACATATTTCTTTACCTAAAAATGTAAACAACAGGTTTTCAATGTCAAAAAGCAAATACGTTTTTTGGATTTCGCAGATCAAACTAGCATTTGGATGATAAATTCGCGAATGTTTCTTGTCTAGTGTTGAATGCTGATGCTTAATGTTACTTGATCTGCATTGTGAAACGAAACTGTCAATGAAAAGCTGCGACAAGCGATCGTTTGCTAGAAAATTAAGTCATTTCTCGAAATTTTCAACATCTCAATGTCTTTTGATAATCAGTTGTTGGATGTCGTAGACGTAAAACAGTTAAAACTACTGTTTTAGTGACACACGCTATCAAAAATCACCAAAAATTGCTTCCGATGATCTTGAACTTGACTTGAAAAACGAAACATTAATTGGCAATACGCAAAAATTCCAAACATTGCTTATAGCCGTCAAAACATCTTCATAAGAGTTTCTCAACAAATCCCCATCAAATCAACCGAAAATCCTGACTTTTGGCAATTGAATTAATTTTCTCCTCACATTTTGCATTTTAAATAAGGCGATGTTTAAAATGTTCCGTCCATAAATATCACAGCTGCAACAAATTATACTTAAAATGCAAGAAAAACCAGTTCTTAAACTATTTATAGATTGTTTCTAATCATTTTATTGAATCATTTTGCTGCTTGGATGAACTTTTCAGAATATTCTTGATGCCATTCACACTACATAATGATTTAATATCAATTTAAATAGCAAACTGGGTTGAACAGTCTCAAAACAGAAGCACAGGCTTCCATGAGGCTGACATGGAGCTAGTTTGAACTAAAGCCAGCTTCATGACAGTCTAGTGCCACTTTTCTAAGACACGTGCTGTTCTGGTCAATTATAATTGATTGCCTTAAGTCTAAGTTGAGTTATAAGGGTTGTACACTTATTAAGGGACGTTTGCTTCTAAGTTACTTTTTGAGCAGTCTGAAAATTATGTTCCGCGTTACGTAATAAGTGAACAGCCCCATATGAGTAAATTAAGTAAAATATTTGGTTCCAGAAGGTTCTATTAATTAATTGATTCCAATAAAAATATGGTTTCATCCACAAATGCAATAAATATCTCAGTCTGACTGCATAGTCTGGTACACAGCTCTTGACATCATTTGTGAACGACCCCAATACCTGTTAATGCTGATCGCATAACAATCTTAATCCACTTTAATGCATTTCTTTTGATTCCTTGAAAATATCTTCCAAATTAAATAGCAAAGCAATAAGAAACTCAGAGCACCATATGCCAAGAAATGATTTAAAGGAGATCCAAATATGCACATGATTCCAAAATCTTTAGCATAAATAATTCGATTCTTAATGGCATTATTCACATGCCATACTATAAGATCTCGACTACTTATTGGTGTATTATATGCCATTGACCGCACTTTTCTTATATTAAGAACATACTTAAATTTTATCATTTCCTGAATAGCTGAACTCAATTCAGACTCGTCAAAATTATTCAAGTCTTTTTCCATAGCAATTCCTTTCTCGACTAAAAATCTTGCATTTGCAGGCTGATCGAAGGCTAATGGAAAAACAATCATTGGAACTTCTCTGTCAATTGCTTCATAAGTTGAAAATATTCCACCATGGAAAATTAGAAGCTTCACATTTGGATGTGCTAAGGCATCAGCAAGTGGCAGCCATGATACAATTTTGACGTTACTTGGCACCTCAAGCCCATCCTCAACTTCTTCAAGCTTCCACAAAACACTCATATTACACGTTTTGAATGTATTCATGAATTTTCTGACCACAACAGTTCCTAAATTCTTTGCATTAACTGTAGATCCAAAGACCATGATGATTACTCCTTTTTTGGAACTATCTAGAAATTCCATAAGTTTTAAATCCTTTATTTCTTTTGGCTTGTCAATATGGAAAAATCCAATTTGAATAGAATGTGGCATCATTGCTCTTACATGACCCACAGCATGATTTGTATTCAGGATAAGTAGACTGTAACGATCATTTGGTGGCAGTGCCACTTTTACTCCCAAATGTGACATATATTCCCATCTTAAAATGACATTTTTGTAGCTATTGTAAATATTAAAGATGAATTCCTGATAAAAGAATTGAAACATTATGGATCGAAATTTCTCATAAAGTGTCAATTTCCCGTGAACGGATGGCAAAACTGTACTTTCAGAATATTTCAGTGGATTCACATCATTCCCAATCATCGAATGAAAAATGTTTGGTGGCTCAATGGCACTCAAGTAAGCGAGTGGACAGTCAAAGATTTCAGCCATGAGAAAAAATGGACATACAAAGCATTCCACAATAACTAAGTCAAAATGATAATTGCTGCTGTTGTGAATTAAACTTTGTATTGCTGGATGTTCCAATTCCTTCCTTGATGCTTCATAATAAGCTTTAATTTCATACTTAAATATAATTTCACTATAATGCAACTGCTTCTGCTTGTACATCAGCATGTCTGTGTATTGACTGTGAATTTTAACTGATTCTGGAAATACGTACTGCGTAACATTCGGATTATCACCATAATCATGTGAATGTGTTGTAAATATTGTTATGTTATGTCCTTGTTCAAGGAGTAGTTCCATTATTTTATGATGAAAATTTTGATGACTAAAGTACGGATATTGTGTAATTGTGAGAATATTTGCCGACTCAATTGAGACTAAAATCGGATATAGAACTGCAAAAATTTGAACTAGTTCCATTGCTCTTTATTCGATCTATTCGGTATGACAGCAAAAATCAAACTAAAATGCCAAAATGTAATAATTTGTTAAAATTCATTAAAACACGTTTTTTCTCCAGTTGATATGCAAAAATGATAATGCTATAAAATGTAGAGGATTTAATGATATACAAAAAAGTTAAAGACGGTCATGGCAACGTTATAATTTTGCAATATTTACGATAAAGAATCCTCTGCAAACCAGAATATTTTATATTATAAATTTTATGATGTTGACGTCCAATGTCTAAAAGAAAAGAAACAGGAAGAGACAGTAAATATTTGTAGACTGCAGACTTTGATCAACAATAAAGTAACATCCAAATCCAAGATTGATTCATGCCATTTCTAATTTTTATAATTTTAAGTGAGTTTAGATAATTCTAATGCTTAATTTACGATATCAAGCAATAATTAAGCTTCTTCTGGGAATCGATGGATTAAGGAACAGGCCAGGAACTTGTATTGTAGTGGGAGACATAGGATCTATAGCTATCAGAATGAGTTGACGATCCAATCCTTGGCAAATCGACAGCACTTTATATGATGATTAGGAGATCAGTCGCTGATAGGAATCGAACCCACGTCCTCATAAAATAGGTTTACAGATACATTGTGTGTTGCCAAACAGCTCAGTCGACAGAGTCTAGATCTGGCATTGGCAGGTTCGCCTATATATTGCTTAATATTCCAGATTTCACTTTTCTCAGAAGCCACAGATGTTGAATTAATTAAAAAGCAATTAAAGTTTTGAAAAATTCAGCTGCATCTCCCATTGTTTTAAGCTTTAGAAACCAGCTCTTAATTTAATAACCTTCTCAGCTGAACTCTACATGCTAAGCCACTGTATTCTATTATCAGTCTATCTCAGTAGCAAGTATCTAGGGCTTCTTAAAAATTTGATAGAGACTAACCCGAAGTCTGATTGATTAACCGACTTGTGCCATTCGGGTAAGGAACCCTATCTAGATCTGGACTGCAAGCTACAGACCACTGAGAGTCCTGATTAATACATCCCTTGTAGAACCTATAGTCCCTCTTCATGGAGACACAGTTTTTCATTTTGCTAAGGTTTTCTTGAAAAAATCCCAAAGTAACTCTTAAAATTTCAGGCTACGCCCCGGGCAACAATTCCAGACATATACCACAATTCAGACAAATGTAAGCATACAATAGAGATTAGACAAACTGGAATCGAAAGACAAAAATCAAAAATCATAAGCATCCAAACTAGAAACTAATAAAATATGCTGGTTGAAAAAACTCTGTGAAGGACACATTCAAGTCTAGCGGAAACGTGCGAAAATCAAAATCAAATGTCTTTTTTATTACTTAAAATATGACGTCAAATGAATAGCTTTTATCATAGCATCAAAGTAAGTTTCTGCCATGAACTTTTAATGTTAAGGAACAGTTCTTTTGATAATCCTTCAAAAAAATCCTAATGAATGGTTTAAAATTGAAGGATCTTCATCAAAATAAGCACCTGCTCCTATCAATTTAATTAAAAACTGTCGAGTCAGCAGAAAATGAGTTTCCTAGACAACTTTACTAGAAAAAAAATCATCTTATTCAGCAAAAAAAAAACTATTTAAAATTCTATCAAAACAGGAATCAAATTCGCGAAGAAACAGCACAACAATTTTGAAATAGGCATGTTTTTCTAAGCCTTTCTGCGAAACGTGAGATCATCGTCTTTCGATACCCAATAATATTTTCGTTGGATCATTCAATTTTATATGTTAGTCATGATCTCAAAATTAAGATAAAACTGTTGATTCTGATTAGATTTTCTTATAAAAGCATCCTTGAATTTTGGGGGTCAGTCACTATTTAAGTAACGCAATAACGAACTTTCTCATAAATGAGCAATGGAATTTCTATTGTTTTTAACTTTTTGACACTCCTTGCTGACCTCCAATAAGCTAGAAATTAAATGAGTTGTAAAAGTGACCGAGGCTTTTTGTATCCCAGCATCAAATCATAATTTTATAAGCCCTTGACGTTACATCCCTACTACCATGAAGAGATGTAAAGAGTAGAACCATGCCGACATCATGCCAACTTGTTATTGTTGTAAATAATTACAGTTCATGCTTTTGGTAATTGCCAAACGGTAGACAGCGATAGAGCCAGCGATAGAACCAGTGATAAGGCAAGCTTCAGGTGCCATCAAAGAGAGGCCATGGTTCACAAACGATCTGTACAGCCAGCGAATTAAGTAAGCAAGTAAAACAGTTTATAGTTTTCACTTTCATGTCAGAAAATACAAAGCATGCATCAAACCTCCTTTAAAATGCTGAACGTTATAAGTGAACGACCCAGAAGATATTTTTGCTTAAATTGTTGACGAAAATTGTTAAATTTATGATTATTTAATTCTTTCGACTAGTTTTCTTAATTATGTGGTTCAGGATATTCAGCCTTGACGATTTTTTGATTTTTTTAAAGCAGAATAAAAATTAATTTTTGAATTTCACTATGGGGCAAAATGAAAAAAAAAGGGACTTTCACTTTGAAAAATGGACTTTTCCGATTTACACTTTTTGGGTGATTTTTTCTTGTAGAGGACATAAAAGTAGATAGAAATGCCAAATTTCAGGTCATTTGGTGCTGATTTCGCGATTCTAGAGCTGTTTGAAGTTGAAAACTAGTGAAAATTCTGGTTTTTTCATACCATGTTTGAACCGGGAAATATCTTAACTGGTTTAAGATATTGCAAAACGGTTTTCAGTTCCTATTAGTAGTATATAAGAGCTTTATTTTGACATATAACAAAGTTTAGGTTCTGAATGTTTTCGTGCCATTATGGTAGAACATATGTGAAAATTTCAGGAAAATTATCTTCAAACAAGCCGCAACTATCATAAATGAAGAGTTTCCAGGCAAGTAAAAACGCAGTTTTGTAGCCCCATATATCTAGTTTTCAAAACTGTATAAACTTTGAAAAAGTAAGCTAACGTAATTGAGTTATGTTGATTTTAGTAGGTCGTTGAGTATTTGGCCAAAAACTAATAATTCTTTTAAAAATACGAAAACATAGTTTTAAAAATAGTTTTTTGGTGTTTTCTTATGAAAAATAACAATTTAAATGATTTTGTGAAGAAAATTTTTCAAAAACTTCAAAATCTTTCGAGATATAGGGGGTATGTGCTCTCCATCGATTTGGCCATTTGTCACCCTACTTAAACCACTATAACTTTTTTTTGAAAAAATATTTTTTAATTCTGTTTTCGGATTATTGTAGCCTAATGTAATACCTATCCAACGATATATAATACTTGCTAGTTAACTTAGTCCTGGTTATTTATAGGGCTGTTGATTGTGACATACGCAGTTTTTGAAATATTCCCAAAAATTGCATTTTCAAAAATACCACTTTTAAGCAATCTCGAGTATTTTTTAGAACTTTTTTATGTTTATTTATGACATTTATGAGATTATAAAGCCAAAAAATTAAATTTAGAAACTTTTTACTTCCCTAGTTAACAACTTTGTAAAGTACCCTTGGTAGTCACTATCAGGTGTGAAAATCTCAGTTTTGAAACTATTTTATATATATACTCGTGAAATTCTCTCTACACATCATATCAGTTTTGAACTTCATTGAACAAGTCACTTTCAAAAATGAACCAAAATTCAACACTTACGAAGAAAACACTCTAATAATGCATTAAGAGATCATGCAGATTTCTATGAAGAGGAATTTGAAGTTGACTCACGATACTTCAGCGAATCTAGTGGAGGGATTCTTTTTGAGGAAGAATCTATATATGAAGCAGAAAATGTTACTGACACAGATGAAGATATGGATGAGATTGAATACATCGATACTAACAAGCGATAAGCATCGACGTAGAAGAGTGGACGAATTAGATATCAGTTTAAAAGAAGCAAAAGGATCATTGTTATCAGTTCTTCACTTGGCACTTCGCCTTTCTAAAGAAGAAGGAAAAGTAGAAGGAGCTAAAATGTTAAAAGAATTTATTAAGGCGTGCCAAAAAGGAGAGGATCTTCCAGAAAAAACTATTTTTGAAAGTGACTTGTTCAATGAAGTTCAAAACTGATATGATGTGTAGAGAGAATTTCACGAGTATATATATAAAATAGTTTCAAAACTGAGATTTTCACACCTGATAGTGACTACCAAGGGTACTTTACAAAGTTGTTAACTAGGGAAGTAAAAAGTTTCTAAATTTAATTTTTTGGCTTTATAATCTCATAAATGTCATAAATAAACATAAAAAAGTTCTAAAAAATACTCGAGATTGCTTAAAAGTGGTATTTTTGAAAATGCAATTTTTGGGAATATTTCAAAAACTGCGTATGTCACAATCAACAGCCCTATAAATAACCAGGACTAAGTTAACTAGCAAGTATTATATATCGTTGGATAGGTATTACATTAGGCTACAATAATCCGAAAACAGAATTAAAAAATATTTTTTCAAAAAAAAGTTATAGTGGTTTAAGTAGGGTGACAAATGGCCAAATCGATGGAGAGCACATACCCCCTATATCTCGAAAGATTTTGAAGTTTTTGAAAAATTTTCTTCACAAAATCATTTAAATTGTTATTTTTCATAAGAAAACACCAAAAAACTATTTTTAAAACTATGTTTTCGTATTTTTAAAAGAATTATTAGTTTTTGGCCAAATACTCAACGACCTACTAAAATCAACATAACTCAATTACGTTAGCTTACTTTTTCAAAGTTTATACAGTTTTGAAAACTAGATATATGGGGCTACAAAACTGCGTTTTTACTTGCCTGGAAACTCTTCATTTATGATAGTTGCGGCTTGTTTGAAGATAATTTTCCTGAAATTTTCACATATGTTCTACCATAATGGCACGAAAACATTCAGAACCTAAACTTTGTTATATGTCAAAATAAAGCTCTTATATACTACTAATAGGAACTGAAAACCGTTTTGCAATATCTTAAACCAGTTAAGATATTTCCCGGTTCAAACATGGTATGAAAAAACCAGAATTTTCACTAGTTTTCAACTTCAAACAGCTCTAGAATCGCGAAATCAGCACCAAATGACCTGAAATTTGGCATTTCTATCTACTTTTATGTCCTCTACAAGAAAAAATCACCCAAAAAGTGTAAATCGGAAAAGTCCATTTTTCAAAGTGAAAGTCCCTTTTTTTTTCATTTTGCCCCATAGTGAATTTTTTATTTAAACTTCAAAGAAATTTCACCATAAAATGTAAAAAATTAATAAAAATGGACTTAAAATCTAGTTAAGTTGATTAAATATTAAACTTTCAATCTTAATATAGACCCATCGTATGCCTTTTACCCTGTTTTAGCCTTTGTACAAATTAACAATTTTTTTCAATACCAAATTTTACACAAAATTCTATTAAATCTCCTTTGTCATGATTCATGGCAAGTATGTTCGAACATTTTACAGTTTTTTTAATTTTTCGTCAACTTTTTTAAACTTTCGTCTGACAAGATAAATAATTAATAGCACAAAAGCAGCAAAATAGACGAAACACTGCTTCAACGGTGTTCCAAAATAACTAAAATTACCAAAATCTCTTGCATAATATAGTTTGTGCTTTATAGCATTATTAACATGCCAAACTATGAGATCTCGATTGTTGATCGGCTGATCGTATGCTAATGACCGCATTTCTCTCACATTTGCTGCATATTTTGGTTTTGTCATTTCCTGAATCGCTGACGTCAACTCCGAGTCTTCAAAACTATTCAAATCCATTTCCATTGCGATTCCTTTATGAGCCATTAGACGTGCATTCGTGAATTGATCATATGCTAATGGGAATGTGATCATTGGAACTCCTCTGTCAATAGCTTCATATGCTGTAAATATTCCACCATGGAAGATCAGCAGCTTTACATTAGGATGTGCTAAAGCATCAGAAAGTGGCAACCATGACACAATTTTCACATTAGGAGGAATTTCAAGACCTTCCTCAACCTCGTCAAGCTTCCATAAAACACTCATATTAGTCTTACTGAATACTTTGAGGAACTTTTTGACATTTTCAATTCCCAAGCTTTTTGTATTGACAGTGGATCCAAGAGCTTTAATAATAACTCCATTGCTTGACTTATCCAAAAAGTCTTTCAACTCCAAATCAGTTATTTCTTTTGGTTCCTCAACATGTGTATATCCAATTTGAATAGTATGCGGCATTGTTGCTCGAACATGACCAAATGCTTGATTAGTGTTTGTCATAAGCAATGAAATTCGATGATTTGGTGACTTTGCAGTACTCAAACCTAAATGTGAGAAGTGATTATAATTCATCCTCACATTATTGTAGATATGGACACAATTGAATATAAACTCATAAAATAATTGAAACATTAAGGAATCAACCATCTGTAAAATTGTCATTTCTCCATGGATGTAAGGCAAGAATAGCGATTCTGCATATTTGAATGGATTGATGTCATTTCCCATCATATTATGAATCATGTATGGTGCATCAATGGCACTTACTATTGCGACTGGACAGTCATAAACTTCAGCAAATAAAAAGGAAGTACACACGACACATTCAGCTATAACAAGATCAAATTGATAGGCACTGGTGTTTGTAATCATTTTCTGTAGCTCTGGATGACTTAATTCATGCTCTGCAGCCTCAAAGTAAGCTCTAGCTTCATGCTGTATTAAAATTTGACTGTAATGCAATTTTTTCTTCCTATACATCAGCATGTCTGTGTACTTTTTATGAATTTTGATTGAGTCCTCAAAGACATATTGTGTCACATTCGGATGATCCTTATAATCATGTGGATGTGTCGAAAAAACAGTCACTGTATGTCCTTCATCCAATAGTATTTGCAAAACTGTCTGGTGAAATCTTTGATGACTGAAATAAGGAAATTGAAATATCGCGAGAATATTCCCAGACTCAGCTGTGTAAATTAATGCACAAAAAATCACGAAAAAATACAAATATTTCATGTTAATTAAGTTCGATCTAAACAGTCGGAACGCAAGAATAAAACTGAAAAAATTTTATCGAACAGATTTGCTGAATGTCGTCTGGCAAAAAAATTTTAATTCCTGTGTCAGTATGCAAATTGTCAAAATTGTGGTAGATTCGAGCGTCGAAAAAGTAAAGGAGGATGGTCATTTTATGATTTTTTTTTGGATTAAAAACTATTATATGCCTTGATTAATGTTATTGCTTAGAATTTGATTGGCTTTTATTCTATATTAAGCAGCACCGGATTGAACGGGAATGTGTGTCTTAAAGAGCAATATCCTTTGTTTGAATTGAGTGGATAATTAAGGTATTGATTAACAGATTTATAAATCAGGTGAACATCCTAAATGCAGGATATTAGGAGAAAAGTAAGGAAGGATTATGGGAGGTCTGAGATTTTGTGGAAGTTCAAGTATAGAAAATTTGTGAAAAAAATGTTTTAATAAAAATTCAATTTTTTTCAAGGCATTACTGCTGCATTCCTATTGATATAAGGCATCAAAAATCAATTATTCAAAAAATCATAAGAAATGGTCGCAATCTTATATAAAATTGCTTGAAAATCCGTGTAGATGGTGCTTTAATCTTGATTATATGAATGATGTAGCTAATCTAGACGAGTGATGTTCAACTCGCGTGAACGTCCCAAGAAATTTTGGAGAGAAGCTGTTGACAGAGACATTATTAAAATTGGTATTAGTAATTGGCAATCGGTAGCCTGCGATAGAGTCAGCTTCAGTCGCCATCTAAGGGAGTTCATTGATCACAATTGATCTGTATGGCCAGAGAGGTAAGTAAGTAAGATGTTCAACTCGTGTGTTGCGGCACACTAGTGTGTTGTCATAAATTTGTTATATCCCACGGAACGTATGCTGTGTGCGGATTTGGTCATGGCTTACCACCAAGTTTGCTGTGGTATTGAGATCTATAAACTAGAATCTGTCTATTGCAAGGAAAATGCCTCTGTGGCCGAGAGATTGAATTTAAGCAATAGATTAAAATTCACTAAGCTTATTTTTAATGAAAACGTGAGTTCAATTCTCATCATTTTTTAAAATAATCCTTTTATTGCTAATGTCACCTTCAGTTCAGAACCACCACCAACGTCCTTAAAATATTCTAACCTTCTCTAAAGTGAATAATGATCATCGCCATCTTAAAACAAATTTAGTTAAATCAGAGAATCTTATGACAACCTAATTTATTATATTATAATAATTAACTCTAACACGACATATTCTTAAAATTGATATGATCTTATTCAAAAGTAAATTCAAGTTTCAAACTGGTTCTTAAAAGTTACTTAATATTAATGATTCCTTTAGCCTTTTCACGACATTTTACATTTTTCTTCGACTTTCATTAACTTCTTCTTCACGAGAATGTACAGTAGAGTAAGAAGAATACCTGCATATACGAGAAAATGATTCAATGGCGATCCAAAGATGCTCAAACTGCCAAAATCTTCAGCATATATTATTCGATTTTTTATGACATTATTAACATGCCAAACTATGAGATCTCGATTATTGATCGGCTGATCGTATGCTAATGAGCGCATTTTTCTCACATTTGCTGCATATTTTGGTTTTGTCATTTCCTGAATCGCTGAGGTCAACTCCGAGTCTTTAAAACTATTCAAATCCATTTCCATTGCGATTCCTTTATGAGCCATTAGTCGTGCATTCATGAACTGATCGTATGCTAATGGGAATGTAATCATTGGAACTCCTCTGTCAATAGCTTCATAAGCTGTAAATATTCCACCATGGAAGATCAGCAGTTTTACATTAGGATGTGCTAAGGCATCAGCAAGCGGCAGCCATGACACAATTTTTACATTAGAAGGAATATCAAGACCTGGCTCAATCTCATCGAGCTTCCATAAAATATTCATTTTTGACTTACTGAATATATTAAGAAACTTTTTGACATTTTCAATTCCTAAGCTTTTTGTATTGACAGTAGAACCAAGAGCCTTGATAATTACTCCATTTGTTGAGTTGTCTAAAAATTCTTTTAGCTCCAAGTCTTCAATTTTCTTTGGTCTTTCTACATGTGTATATCCAATTTGAATAGTATGTGGCATTAATGCTCGAACATGACCAAACGCATGATTTGTATTTGTCATCAGAAGTCCAAGACGATCAGTCGGAGACCTAATGGATCTCATGCCCAAGTGTGAAAAGTGCTCGTAATTAAGCTTCGCATTATTGTAGACATTGACAGTATTAAAGACTAATTCATGAAACATTTGGAACAAGAAGGAATCAAACTTCTGTAAAGATGTCATTTTTCCATGAATGTAAGGCAAGAACAGCGATTCTGAATGCTTAAATGAATTCACATCATTTCCAAATAATGAATGTATCATGTATGGTGCTTCAATTGCGGTAACTACAGCTATAGGACAGTCAAAGACTTCAGCAAATAAAAAGGAAGTGCACACAAAACATTCAGCAATAACAAGATCAAAATGATAGTCGCTGCTGTTCTTGATCATTCGTTGTATCTCTGGATGTGCCATCTCATGCTTTGCTGCTTCATAGTATGCCTTAGATTCATGTTGGATTAAAATTTGACTATAATGCATTTTTTTCTTCCTATACATCAACATGTCTGTATGTTCACTGTGGATTCTAATTGAATCCTCAAAGACATATTGTGTCACATTCGGATGATCCTTATAATCATGTGGATGTGTCGAAAAAACAGTCACTGTATGTCCTTCATCTAGCAATATTTGCATTACTGTCTGGTGAAATCGCTGATGACTGAAGTAAGGAAATTGAAAAATCGCAAGAATATTCCCAGACTCGACTGAACACAACAGTGCATAAAAAAATATAAAAAAATGCACAACTTTCATTTCTTTTTTTTTAAATTCGATCTAAACAGTCCGAGAGCCAATATCAAACTAAAGTTGCGAAAAGTATCGATGCTTGGCTGAAATATATTTTATCTCTTTGCTATACTGAGAAAATTTTCGTAGATGTAGGAGATTCGCGCGCTTAAAATATAATGCGATGGTCATAGCCATGGCACTGAGACTTCTACCAAAAAAAAAAATCTGATTTGTCATGATGTTTGTTGATATTTTTGGACTCAGTCAATGCGTTGCTATTTTTTTAACCGGGGGGAAATTCGCGAAATAACTGTGCAAAAATATCAAAAATCCCAGTTTTGTGAGGCGTAGTTTAAGAACATAGCCATAAAGAGTGTGTGTAAGGAGATACTTTAAATTTTGAATGTTTAAGAATTTCAGAAGTACATTTCAAAATGAAACAGAAAGAGCAACGCTACAGTATCTTTGAAGTCAATCTGCAGCTCAAGAATTTAAAAAATATAAATTGATTGCTTAAGAAAAATAAAATTATTGTCCATTCTATGACATTCCTGCTAATGAGAATATTCAACTACTTAAGCTCATGCTGCACTGTGATAAATCAGCCACGTATTCACAGGCTAATTTTTGGCTGGTATCTTGTCAATTATCACTTCTATGCATGGCTGGTAATACAATGTGAATAAAAGTCATTAACTTTGATGACCTTAGAACCTTGTGGCTATTCTTAAAATCCATGGCTTTTGATAACTGATGGTAATTTAGTAATTATTGGCTGGTACAATAAAATCTTGAGCAGAAGCTTCCTAAGGGCGGTTTCTTAGGCTCCTCTTAGTCGTTTTATATTTAATTCTTACCCTAGGTTTCACATAGTTCTCGGAATTTCCTTACTAAGCCTTAATCCCAAAGAAGATTTCCAGAAAAATCTACTATTTTGATGACAATGCTGTATTTGACTTCCAAAGAGTCTCAAAGAGTTTTCAGATAATTTGCAGCAATTTCACTTTCGAGTCTTGATCGATGTGCCTTGTATGACTTGTAATTAGAAACTGAATTACGATACAGCTCCACAAAAAAAAATCCACTTTAGCAAATTGAAGATCAAGAAGACATAGATGTAGCCAGGGGGGATCGAGTAAGGAGTTTTGACACCTTTGAGATGAATATTTTAAAAGTAATGAAGGAATGTCAGCTTAATGGAAAGCCTTTTGTTGTAACCTAAGTTCCACATAGGGACATGGTTACAGTAAGTAAGTAAGTATGAAGATAAAGAGCCTTTATTGCTTAAGACTTTGACTTTGCCCCACTAATAGGCGTATTTAGGAGAGGGCTTAGTAAATCAAGATGTGTGAGCTGAAGTGTCTAGGTGGCGGAATGGTTTAGTACTTCGGTACCTAATTATTGCAGAACCAACACAGCGATCATGGGTTCGAGACTTGATTTAGAAAGTTTTTCATTGTTCTTTATCGAACCACATGAACTGGAAATGAAGTTTATTTGTAGCCTGTTGGCATTAAAATATCCAAAGACCCTTGTTAAGGTGATTACGGCCCTAATAAAGGCTCATTAAATTATTGTTTAAAGTTTAAAAGAAGAAAAAATCTAAAATCGTGATGCACCACAAAAAAAATGTTATTTCATAGCAAAAGAGGAGTGGCTTAATTTTTTTATGCTCATCATTAGAGAATTTCCGAAAATAATCTGGAAATGTACAGCAAAAAAAAATTGAAATTTTTAATTTTTTTAAATGTCATAAGAATGTAGCTACAAAAACCATTAAAAGTAAGTTAAAACAATCCCGCGAATTTCCCCACATTTAATCATTATTAACAATTAATATCCAGATTTAAATATGCAGAATAACCAATTCTACACTGTCATGCAGAACAATACAGGCTAGAATTACCCAAAATTTCGCATATAAAATTTTATTTGGTTTTTCCAAATCTGCAACAATTAAAAATTAAATTCTAACAGCAGAAGCAAGCACAAAAGCAACAATAAAAGTAGTAAAGTAGCAATACAAAAAAGAGAAGTTTGAAAGCATGATTGATAATCATATTGTGTATCAGAATACCTTACTAACTTCCTCATCTTCTTGTGTGCTGTTCTTCGTTCATAGAAAAGTGAGCACTTGAACAGAATGAATGTGACAATAATTCTTCATTGCGTTAAAGTGAGAAAAAGTTCTTTCTAAGAGTATAGAGGGAAAGATCTGTTCAGCAATGATGTCTTACTTTTTTTTATAGATAAAAATTGAAGAAGGTCTAGAACAGTCGTACACCTTCAAAATTAATGTCTTGGTCAAAGTTTCTTTTTTAATCGACATCATTTTCGAACCACTCCCAAAGACATCGTTCATTAATGACGTCTGACATTAAGGGCGTCTAAAAAAATCTCGTTTTTGATACACGTCATTTTCAAATGACCCCAAATTTTCAGTACTTGAAGCTTAGCACCTCACTATGTGTTTACTTTAATGCATCATGACTCATTTTACGCAATAATTGAAAAAAAAATAAAATTCTTTATCAGATAAATTGGTTTTGTGTATGTGCGGTTGCTAGGGACTTCAACATACCGAGCATATCAACGTGTCGTTATTTACGGAAGACAATTATATGTATATCAAGTCCATACATTCCGAGAAAGTAAAAATCAATGTCATGGATGATCAAAGTCATTTCCATGTTTTTAAATAGCTCGATGTCCACATATAGGCATTGTTTGTTGTCTAGCAATAAAAAATATTTAAATAGGCATGCAGACTAGATACTGGGATACCACAAATGGTAAATTGATAGTGCTGATACTGCACAAGGAACTCATAGAGTTTGTTAGAACTTCCGATGCAGAGATGCTACAAGGTAATACTTAGTGACATGCTAAACTGATGAATTATTAAAAATTAATTGTCTTTACATAAACTCAAGGTCTGCAAATTATTATGTTTGAGTTCCAGACTTAAGTGACAACAACTCAAAGCAATTTAAAGATTGCTAAATTTAAAAATAAATAAAATTTGTAGATTTTTGGCAATAAGAAACCAAAAAACGCGTAAAATATCATAAAATTATTGATAATATATTAAATATTAAGACTCAAATAATCAACTGAAAATTAAATATCAACATTCAAAAAAATTCTTAAATATTTGCATAAACGTAACATTTCAACAGTTTCAAAGTATAAAAATAATGACACCTTTTATAAGAAAAGTAAATTTAATATGGTATCAAGATTCTGGCACTCCCACTAAGACTCTTGAACTATCAAAAAACGAATCCGAGAACATTTTAAATTTCTACAGAAAATCTGCATTGGCTTAGCATCTGACATTTTATTTTCAACTTTTAAGTTTTAAAGGCAACTGCTTCATATGAAGCTATAAATCATGAATTCGTTGGAAACACTGGTTTACTATGAATCACTGGTGGTGCTGTTCGGATATTTTGGGATGTTAACGCTAGTGCAATGCAGGTCTCAAGCTAGTCTAAAGCTAGTCTCAAGCTAGTCTCAAGCTAGTCTCAAGCTAGTCTCAAGCTAGTCTCAAGCTAATCTCAAGCTTGTCTCAAGCTAGTCTCAAGCTAGTCTGAAGCAAGTCTCAAGGTTGTCTCAATCTAGTCTCAATCTAGTCCCAACCTAGTCTCAAGCTAGTCTCAAGCTAGTCTCAAGCTAGTCTCAAGCTAATCTCAAGCTAATCCCAACCTAGTCTAAAGCTAGTCTCAAGCTAGTCTGAAGCAAGTCTCAAGGTTGTCTCAATCTAGTCTCAATCTAGTCTTAATCTAGTCTCAATCTAGTCTTAATCTAGTCTCAATCTAGTCTTAATTTAGTCTTAATCTAGTCTCAACCTAGTCTCAAGCTAGTCTCAAGCTAGTCTCAACCTAGTCTCAAGCTAGTCTCAAGCTAGTCTGAAGCAAGTCTCAAGGTTGTCTCAATCTAGTCTCAATCTAGTCTCAATCTAGTCTCAAGCTAAGCTCACTCTAGTCTCAAGCAAGTCTCAAGCTAATCTCAAGCTTGTCTCATCATTTTCAAATAACTCCCAATTTTTAAAAAGTCTTCACACTTCCAAATGTGTCAATTGATTGCATATAATGAAGGATTGGAACCTCTAGCACCTATAGCAATAACATAACTTTTATTATGCCATGAGCTCATTTTCATTGCACGATGTTAAAAAAGGCAACGCAAAAGCGAAGATAAGATAAGATAAGATAACAGCATAGAACGGTAATTTAAAAAATTTCCTCTATATGTATGTTCAGTTTTTTGCTATTCAGCACCTGATAAACACAAATATTTTGTATATATTTTTTTTTTTCGCTTTGCAATAATTTCTGTATTCGGAATTTCATAGACGCTGTGGAAGTGAGCAAAAAATTTGCATTTTAAAAAAAGGAAGGAATTTTCCTCACACGAGTATGATTTAAAGCTTTTACATTCTATTGTGAAAAAAGAAATATTAAAGAAAAAATATCAGCATAGTAAGATGAAGTCGGAAGCCTTTTTAGTTTTCGTATTCTTCTTTTCTGTCGGATTAATTTATGGCGAAGCCGCAGAAACAAAGGTAAGCGATGTGACAGGTTTGCAGCATAAAAAAGTTAAAGTTTTAAAGTTCCAAAGTTGAAATTTTCATTGGAAAAAGATGAAAATAAATTTTATGGTTTTGTCATATAATTTTTTTATAAGGTGTGTGATCACATTTCGATAAAAAGTTATTATCTTTGTTCGTGCTATTGTCTTGAATTAAATTTTTTGGTAAATGAAAGGAAAAAATTAATTTTTTTAAAGCGGGTGAGATTCGTCAGGTATGAAAAACAAAAAATTCACAACTCAGATTTTAATTTCGTAGGATCAAATTCAATTTCAAAGGTAAAAATTTAATTTCGAAAGTTAAATTTCAATTTCGAAAGTTAACATTTAATTTAGAAAGTTAAATTAAAATTCGAAAGTTTAATTGAAATTCAAAAGTTTAATTCAAATTCCAAAGTTTGATTTCAATTTCAAAAGTGAAATTTAATTTCGAAATTTAAATTCAAATTCCAAAGTTTAATTTCAATTTTGAAAGCAAAAATTTAATTTCGAAAGTTAAATTTCAATTTTGAAAGTAAAATTCAAATTCCAAAATTTAACTCCAATTTCGAAAATTAACATTTAATTTAGAAAGTTAAATTCAAATTCGAAAGTTTAATTGAAATTCGAAAGTTTAATTCAAATTCCAAAGTTTAAATTTAATTTTGAAAGTTAAAATTTAATTTCAAAAGTTAAATTTTGACTTCGAATGTGAAATTCAAATTTGAAAGTTAAATTCAAATTCTAAAGCTTGATTTAAATTTCAAAAGTGAAATTTAATTTCGAAAGTTAACTTCAAATTCAAAAGTTTAAGTTCAATTTCAAAAATTAATGATTTTGAATTTTAAAGCTTCTTGTAAGTGTTAAACCTTACTCTGATACAATCAATAATAAATGGAATTAATAATAATTTCATCAAGTCATAAGTGACTAACACTCTTCAAAGAATTATATAAATCTACATCAATGAATCAACCTGCCTTTTCTTGGCTTAAAATCAACAAAATAAAGAAAAAAATATGAATGATAAAAAACAAATTTCATACGAAATTTTATCATAAAAACATTCTTATCAAGTTTTTCTTATCAATCTCTCTCCCATACGCTTGCATGTGTTTGATTAATGCTGAATAATTTTTTTATTCACAATGAAAATGATTACAAAAAAAAATAGTAAGAAGAAAAAAATATAAGTCATTCAGCCTACGCTTTTATTTATAGAAAATGTATTTATTAAGGAGGAATTAGGAAGAAAACAAGATAAACATTTTCTGTATTTTTTTGATAGAAAATTTGATTATTACACGCTTTTTATTGAGTTGCTCTGTTGGTTTCTTTGTATGTCACGTTCAAATCTTGCAATCGATTTTTCGACCACTTCTATTGCTGCAATCGAGCTCAAATTTTGTATACACACGTATTCCCGGTGACAATACAATATTTTAACACTTTGGAAACACAAAAATGCTTAATTATAGTACAATTTATGTAGAACTTTTTTATATGGGAAAAAATCCAATGTCAATGATATAAAATTTTGATTTGTATTAAATATTATACTTGTGATGCTCTAAAGTCATTTATATGATTCATTATAGTTTAATTAATATTACTAATTATTAATTATACCATAAATTTGAGCAGCTAAAGATATTCTAGTAAGACAAAAAAATTGACATGTAATTTTTTCATGAATATTCGTAAGTGAAAATTTGAATTTTCAAAAAAACCGTTAAGCACAAGTCCGTTACGAATTTATGCAAAATAACTATTAATATGCGATGTGCATTTAGCACACATTGATTGAGCATAAATTTATGCTGTTTTAAATGTATTGCATTATTTATAACACTTCACCAACTTAATTAAATTGACTTTTCTTTTTATTAACGGCTTGACGTATTTTTGCATAACATATAAATATATTCATTGAATTTAAATTTGAAAATCCGTTATAAATACGTTACATATGTGATTTGCATCTTTATGTTAAGAATCCACACGTTATGAAGTAGAAATGGTACAGATAAACACAAAATCTTTACGAGTGATTTTTAATGTACTTTACTAATGAATGCTTTAAAAAAATTAAATTTTATAAAACGAATGAAAAATTTTGAAAGTCGTTACTAATTTCCCATTGAAAACTGGTAATTTATAAACAGTTGAACGCAACGAAGTGAAGTTCAACACACCTGTAACCTATAAACCTACTGTAATCTATAAACAGTTGAACGTAACGAAGTGCAACGAAGTGAAGTTCAACACACCTGTAACCTATAAACCTAATGTAATCTATAAACAGTTGAACGTAACGAAGTGCAACGAAGTGAAGTTCAACACACCTGTAACCTATAAACCTACTGTAATCTATAAACAGTTGAACGTAACGAAGTGCAACGAAGTGGAGTTCAACACACCAGTAACCTATGAACCTACTGTAATCTATAAACAGTTGAACGTAACGAAGTGCAACGAAGTGGAGTTCAACACACCTGTAACCTATAAACCTACTGTAATCTATAAACAGTTGAACGTAACGAAGTGCAACGAAGTGGAGTTCAACACACCTGTAACCTATAAACCTACTGTAATCTATAAACAGTTGAACGTAACGAAGTGGAGTTCAACACACCTGTAACCTATAAACCCACTGTAATCTTTAAACAGTTGAACGTAACGAAGTGCAACGAAGTGAAGTTCAACACACCTGTAACCTATAAACCTACTGTAATCTATAAACAGTTGAACGTAACGAAGTGCAACGAAGTGGAGTTCAACACACCAGTAACCTATGAACCTACTGTAATCTATAAACAGTTGAACGTAACGAAGTGCAACGAAGTGTAGTTCAACACACCTGTAACCTATAAACCTACTGTAATCTATAAACAGTTGAACGTAACGAAGTGAAACGAAGTGAAGTTCAACACACCTGTAACCTATAAACCTACTGTAATCTATAAACAGTTGAACGTAACGAAGTGCAACGAAGTGAAGTTCAACACACCTGTAACCTATAAACCTACTGTAATCTATAAACAGTTGAACGTAACGAAGTGAAACGAAGTGAAGTTCAACACACCTGTAACCTATAAACCTACTGTAATCTATAAACAGTTGAACGTAACGAAGTGCAACGAAGTGAAGTTCAACACACCTGTAACCTATGAACCTACTGTAATCTATAAACAGTTGAACGTAACGAAGTGCAACGAAGTGGAGTTGAATTTGAATTGTTGTGGTCGAAATTCGATTAAAAGATTGAGACTAAAAAGTAGCAAATAAAAAAACGTTAAAAAAAACTTTTTAAAAAACACGCTTTTTTTCCCGAAGACTAAAAAACAAATAACATTTTTTTTCTTGAAGTTAAGTCTGTTGTTAAGAATAAAAACCAAGCGACCAAAAAAGGAGCAAATAAAAAAATGTTAAAAAAAACTTTTTAAAAAACACGCTTTTATCAAAAAGATTAAAACCAAAAACTTGAAAATAAAATAAGATCACACTTTTAGCGAATCAGGATTTTAAAAATTTTCTTGTGACAACTAGAAATGTAACATAAATTTTTTCAAAATATTGTGATTAAGTCCAAGAACACAATGACTCTAAAAGCGTGGGGCGTAATTTAAGAATAATTTCTTAATTCAGCTAAGTTCTTAAGTAAGAGAAGCGCCAAATCTTAAAGCCCCACGCTTTTAGAGTCATTGTGTTCTTGGACTTAATCACAATATTTTGAAAAAATTTATGTTACATTTCTAGATGTCACAAGAAAACTTTTAAAATCCTGATTCGCTAAAAGTGTGATCTTATTTTATTTTCAAGTTTTTGGTTTTAATCTTTTTGATAAAAGCGTGTTTTTTTCTAGAATTTCATTGGAAGTAATCAAAAATGCCTCTTCTGGGTATTCAAACCCCACCCCCCTCCTCCCCATTCATCTTCTCAAAAAAGATTCTTGTGAGTTTTAACCAACAATAAATGACGAGCATCATTATAAATCTTTTATTGCCTTCTTTGATACCTTTCAACAATTTTTTTAACCTTGTGAGTCGAGAAGTTTATTTGTTTTCTGTGAATTCACTGAACTTTTGCCGTCTTTGATATTTAAATTTACGACGCATTAACTTGACCGATGAATGCTGACATATTAATTTAATAGTGCGTCTTGGAAACTCTTAATGTCGATAGTAGACCAGTGTTGTCAAAACGAAAATGACATGAGCAGAATGCTGTGTGAGACTTTGGTCATAGCTTACCTCTTAGGTGTGCCGTGGCTCAAAAAGTCAACAGAGTAGTTCTAATCCCACTTTTCACTGAAGCTCTGGGTTAGAGTGGGGTGGCTTTGCATATGCTTATTCGTTATATCCTCATTAGTCTTATGAACTCACTTACTTCAATCAATTGGGGTCCATGGCTTTCCTCAGATGAAGCTTATATCTGGATCCATTGCTGGCTACCCCTTTGCCAATATTCTATACCTTTCCATGAGTTCATTGGCCTTCTTCGCGCTCTCTTGCCATCTACAAGGTCTGTTTTGAAGATCTTATCTGAAGCAAGCGTCAGTCTCCAAGAAGGCTCTGCTCCCCAGTCCCTGAATCTCTTAGTCTAGTTTCTAAGACTGCCGGTACAACAAAAATCTCTTACAAATCCTCATAACGAAGTCAATCCTTTGGTAGATATAGATTCCAACGTTTGATGCCTTGGAAACCGGTTCCTGGTTTTTTTCTGAATTGAAATTTTGAACTCTATCGCCATTAATCTCGAATTGTTTTCTATCCTCAAAATTATCTCTCGCCCATGTATTTTATTTCCCAAATTCTCAATCCACGCAAATTTTACCACACAAACTGGGAAGATTGAGTAAAGATCATGACTGTGAGAATCAACCGCACCCTAAAAATATCCACTTTGTATGGATATACAAATCTCCAGTTGATGACTTACAAAAATAAACATCTTATTGTTCGTTGAATAATTTTAAATATGACCAAAAAACTTCAAATTCAAAATAAATAAAATAGAAAAAATCACCATTAAATTCCAATTCTTTCATATACCCCGGGAGAGCTTAATAATATTTCAAAAAAACTCAATTTCAAACAATTTCAATTTCTTTATTCTAGGAACTTGAAAATGTAATTTGCAAAAAATGTAACTGCAACGCAGACAAAAACATCATCGACTGCAGTAAAAAAGGATTGAAAAAAATGTTCAGCTATGACGACTGGGCTGCATTAAACGAGACAAACGACAGCTACGAGGAATTATTGATGGATCACAATAATCTCGAGAGTATAGACGTTCAATTCCCACCATTGAAATTTCCACTGAAGCGAATCATCCTCAGCCACAATAAAATCAATAAAATTGCCAAGTCTGCATTCGGAAATTTGACATATCTTGAAGAATTGGATTTATCATACAATGAGATGACAGCTCAGACCCTTAAGCCAGATATATTCAAGGGTAAATATTCAGCTGATGAATATGAGCCGATTGTTACATTGAAAATTTTACGTCTGGGCAATAATCTTTTGCACTATCTTGACGATGACTTATTTGAGCACACGCAGCACATTCAAGAGCTTTATTTGGATAATAATCCAATTCAAGTCATTCATCCAAATATAATGTCAGCCTTTAGTGATATCCCACAATTGCAAGTGCTAGATTTGAGTCGTAATGAGCTCACTGATCTCCCAAGTGCCGTATTTCAGCCTGTTAAAGCATTGAGGGTATTAAATCTTGAAGGAAATTTATTCCATAAAATTCCACGAACAGCACTCAAATATGCTCAAAATCTTCGTGAGCTCTCATTCGATGATAATCCAATTGATGACTTAAATGACGTGAATGCCTTTCCGTCCTTGGCAAAATTGGAGAAACTTAATTTGACGCACATTGGATCATTGAGATCAATTGGCGAGGGAGCATTTGGTGGATTTCCAAAGCTTACAGAACTTCATCTATCCAACAATCATCATTTATCGTTTATTCATCCAGACGCCTTCCAATTTCCTGAACAAGATGATGATAACCGTACACAATGGGCACCCGTCAAGAAGCTCTTTCTGAATAACAATAACTTGACGACATTGGAGAGTAATTCATTCATAACTTGGGATGATATGAACGAGATTCATATTCATGATAATCCATGGCTTTGTGACTGTAACTTGAATTATGTATTGAAGCATTTAATGCCAATTATTAACAAAACAACGCCGCATTTGATTGAACACATTCAATGTGCTGAACCAAGTGTTTATGCTGGCCATAAACTTATGGATTTTAAAGCAAGTGATTTTGAGTTTAGATGCATGGATAAATACAATGCTCATCCGGAACGTGACAGTGCATTACTTGTTGCTCTTTTCTTAGGAATTATTCTCGGTATGCCATTAACATGTGCCTGCATATTAATTTATCAGCGATTATTCAGACCGAAGCAGGGTGCCGCTAAATATTCCAGAGCTTTTTATAAGCGTGCAGACATGCAGGACGATATGCATATATAAAAAGTTAGGATTTATGAATTAATTTAAGGTGTAGACATGAATTTTAAAATTTAGTTGACAAGCCAGTCTTAACTCTCTATCTATCCCATAAAGTAAGAATCGTCTATATGCGTTATAGACGTCCTCTTTCAAAAAACTTTGTACCGCCATATCTTATTTTTCGAAATATCCTATTTTCATTTTGTGTCTATGCCCCACAGAAATTTATAAGTCGTTCGTATATTTCGTAACACTTAAGGGGAAGGCGAATTCTGAGTTTTATCATGCTCAATATTAAATTGTTCTTCAATGGGTTTGGGAGGGAAATGTAGGGCTACGAAATAAACGAATGACTCTTAATACAAATGAGTAAACATAGAGTACATCTATGAATGTGAAATGACAAAATGTAGCTTTTTATTCTATTCTATTCTATATTTTAATAAAATGTTATTCTTACTCTAATCACTTTATTTCTGCTTTCAAAATTTATATGTGTTGATAATTTTAATAAAAAAAAATTTAAATATGAATAAAATTTTGTGAGAGTTTATTTATTTTTTTTTTGTTAAGTATATTATTATTTATTGCTCTCGTTTTTCTTTAAATTTTTTATTTAAAGAGTTGTTCGTAAATGATGTTCATCTTTTGAGGAGCCAAGGGGTCTTTTCTATGGAAGTCCTATATTTGAGTAGATTCGATTTGAACAGAATTTTTCTTGAACAAAACACCTTCTCAAATCAAGAACCCCTGGGAGATAATTTTCGTAAATTTTTTCAGAAAAGAGGACTTTTAAATGTTTTGTTTAGATTGACGTCATTTTTAAACGACCCTTAAATGAATTTAGAGCTTTGAAGTCATTTGTGTATGTGTCGCTGTGGAATAGAAATTAATGAGACAGCTTAAACCTCACGTAGCCAAAGGCAACTTGTTGTTTTGCTTCTAAGTGTCATTTGAGTTGGAGATCAGCCATGTAGATTTGATAGAGTCCAAAAGAGAGTTGATAGGTTCAGAACTCCTCATGAAAAATTGTGACCGTCAAAAAAAATTCAAAACTTTTTACGAAACTCTAGTTCAGTGATGCAGAACTGTGTGCCACGGCATACTATGCATCTTTTCATGGCCTACCCCTAAGATGTGCCTTGGCTCAAAAAGTTTAGACAGCGCTACTCTAGTTGGTAGCTTAATCATCAGGGGCTTCCAGAGAAAAAAATAAAAATTTCTTTTCTTTTTGAACCGTAACAAAATCTTAGACCTTCTAAAAGCGATACTTAATAAGTGAACAGTCTTTTAGTGGACCATTAAAATTGATAAAAAAGTACGAAATTAAAGAAATAAAATTTTTCTGATCGCTGTATAGCCATCCTCAACTCAAGCCAGACCTTGACAATAAACCACAATCTTCACATTAAGATAATTAAAATAAATCTGCACAAACCTTTTATTCTTGTTCTCAATATTCTGGGATATCCCCAAATAAATGTCAATTTTAGTAGTCGTAAATTATCAAAAATAGCTGAATCATCGTCATTTAAAGTAAGTTTAAAAACTAAATCGAACCCCCACTGACAACTTCCTCCAAAAATCTATTTAAATCTCTAAATTGCATCATCAAACGTTCAAAATTCTCAATTACAAAATCTCAACGTACCATCCACGCAGACAAATTCCTCAAAATTATCTCACAAAAAAAATTGCAACACTTTTATTTCCATTCAAGTGCTGTATCCGATTCCAAAAACCAGTCTAACAGCAATAAATTAAACTAACGATGAACACAAGACGATGACCTAATATCAGAAAATATTCGTCTGACCTGTCTCTTGCTTAGTATAAAAATTTGCAGCCAATTCAATTAAGATTTGCAGCACATACTCGTTATGTGATTCTAAGCTATATTCCATAATCACGTTATTGGAGAAGAATGTAAGTCATTGGTCACTGATTTAAATGGTCTGGTGCTCTCATATATAGATAATGTAATAATATTGAATTGCTTCATCGAATGCTGACTGAAAGGGTTGTAAAACTCATAACTCAATGTATTAGAGAGAAGCATGAGTTTTTATGAGGATTGAGGATTGAATTGTAAGTGGAAAATTACATTTTAATGAAAATTTTTTTTTTTATATGAAAGTTTGAAGCTTTGGGATTAAAAACTATAAATATGTAATTTGAAAGTTGTTAAAACAGACATGATGTGTTTGAACTTACTTAATTTTGTTGGATTAAAATATAAACATTTTTATTATTTCGTATGAAAGGATAAAATAAAATTGAGATTGCGAGTAAGTTTGAGTACAGACGAGTCATTAACAAATAAAGTGATTAAAATTCCATTTGATACAAAACTCAGCAATTAAGCTTAACCATCTGATTTGAGGCAGTGTTTCTCAAACTTTGTACCACGACACCATACAGTTTTTGCCACGGCTTGAAAGATGCTTGACAGATTCTTTAGAATTAAGATATTCAGAAGTATTGTCAGGGTTTATTCATAAAAGCCTTTCCTCTTTCCACCCTCACTTCTTTTAAGCCAGTGATGTCCAAACTTTTTTACAACACGGCATCTAATTAAGCCTGTAAAGTCATTTGTTTGGAACAGTGTTGGTCAAACTTTCTGCCACGGCACATTAGAGTGCCGTTGAATTTTTTTGAAAATGACATGAGCCGCATGCTTTGTGCAACTTCGGCCATTGCTAACCCTTAAAGTATGCCCTGGCTCAAAAAGGTTGAACAACAATGCTTTGGAAGTTAAGTTACGAAAATAAACAATCGAGCTTTAAAAATGTATTTTTTTACAGGGACCGAAAACGATCACACGTTGCCTGTTCTTTTATGAATTCTCTAGGCATGTGCAAGCCGGTGTCGGGTTTCTCGCATATTATGTCAAATTCCAGTTCTTAATTAATTACTACATTGACTAAAGATCTCAATCTTAGACTGAGGGTGGGGTAGCAAATGGGTCCGACTGAGGCCTATTATTTTTTGAAAAATTGTAACAAAATGTAAGATAGGGGGGTGTCATGAAGTATGTAACGTTCTAACTGTCGTCTGTCTTTTAAAAAAAAGTTCGCAAAAAAAACTTGTTTACAAATTCACACCAAAAACATTTTTTTAAATTTTCCACCTTTTTAATGAAAATTTAAATGTTCTTAATAACTACATATAAAAAATTATCAAAATAAAATAAATTATGAACGTTCAGGAGGGAGGGGGAGGGGTAGGGGGAGAGGGGGGGTTGTGAGTTGTAACATATTGTAACAAGGGGAGGGAGGGTGAAAAAAGTCATTTTTTGCGTAACGTAATAAGTGAACGGCCCCTTTTTGATCCGTCGAAAAAAAAGCAACTAAAAAGCAAATATTTTTATATTATTATATTTAATTATTGAAAAAGGTCCTTGAATTCATCAAAGCGCCGTTGCTTTTCAAAAACTGTTTAATGAATCTCTTTGTACCATAAGTCAGCATCTTTTAATAATATTTAAACAAAGAACGAGCTTAGTTTTTATTGTTAAAAAAATATCTTCACATGCTTACTAGTTCATGCAGTAATTTATGAGTCGCGAAAAAGTTTATAGGCAAAATCTCACGTGTCTTAAAGCTATAAAACCGGATTATTGGTTTTGATCTTTTTTGGGGTCGTTCATAAATGACGTCGAAAATTAAGTGGTCTAAAGTTGTGTGACATTTTATAGATTTTATAACTTTAATGAGAAAGTGGTGGAAAGGTCCAAAATATCTCCAATATCTGACATACGTCATTTCTGAACGACCCCTACCATAAAACCAGATTTTTTTTTGCAATAAGTATAAAAAATTCTGAAAGTGAAATTAAGATCAAATAATTGTAAATGAATGAAATCCTTTTGATTCCATTTTACATTATATGAGGCCGTTCATTAATGACGTTCCAAGATTTAGAGTGGAAGAAGGTCTACGATTTTGTGACAGTTCGTACCAATTTTTTTTTATTCATATAAATTTTGTGACAGGGAGTGGGGGGGGGGGTTAAAAGTCATGGTTTTTAAAAAACATAATAAGTAAATGAAATCATATTAATGAATTCATTTTTTAATTAACGTCATGTCCAACATTCAAATGAATTTTATGCTACCTTACATATGACTTTATGAAAATAATTTTATTGAGTAAAGTTTGAAAAGCTTCTTAAAGCTGTTTAAAGCAATCAGAGAATTTCTTTGATTAATGAGCTCTAACCACATGCTAGTCGTTTTAGGAGATTTAAAAACACGTTAAGTATTACTTTTTGATTATATTGAATTAATTATTTCCAGCTATACTTATCATCCTCAAATTAGTAATTCTTAAGCATGTCAAAAATCAATAAATCCATCTTTTAATGTCCTCTCCATGTGGTCATATTTATTGATTTTGAAAATAAATTTACAATCAATTTAAAACACATTATTCAAAAAATAACCATTCAAGCTTGTAGTCTTAAAGGTGCTGTAAAAAGGACAATTTGATACATGCAGTCTTGTTTACAGCTTGAATGTGGGACTGCCACCCTACATGCAAGGTTGTTTGGATAGGCTATCCCGGCACAGAGCTTGGTTGCTAGCAGTGCATTTAGCGATATCAAGAGATACCAATTAGCATTTGGTCAGCTTCGTAGTCAGACTTCGGCTTTTTCATTCCAACCTGCTAAATTTGATACATAGTGACATTGTTTGCTCAAAAGAATATCAAGGAAAATTTTCAAAAATCAACAGACAATTTTTCCGTTTATGCAAGCTATCAATCTTTCAAAAAAAATTCTGACTCTGTCCCTGGTATTTTCTGATGTGATCGATTTGAACTACATATAGGCTATTGAGAGTATAAATTAAATAGCAATATGCAGTAGTAATATCTGCATCAAAGCATGTCTGAATAGCTCACTCGTCAAGTCCTTCAGCATCTAAAAATCTAACGTTAATCAAACGATACGTGGTTCGAGACTCAAAATGCAAATTAATTTTAATAATTAAAAGCTAGTTCCATTAAACGGTAGAATCA